TTATGGGATGTTCAGGAAGAAAAATATAAGAATAATAGGAATCACTGAAGTAATAACTCAGAATTTTCTAGAGTTAAAGATTGCATGTTCTCAGATTTAGTAAACTCAAATGGTCCCAATCAAAATAAATCCAAATATAAAACCTCTAAGTTGCAATATGACAAAAAGCCAATTTAACATGACATTTAACTTGACAATTTAACATGGCAAAAAGCCAAAGGCGGAGATAGGATACCCAAAGTTAGCAAGACCAAGGAAAGAACTTACTTACAAAGGATCTCATAAAGTTTGCAGCACTTGTATCAGATGAGAATCTATACACCAGGAAACAATACTTATGGAATATGGCATCAAACAAACCCAATGAAATCAATATTCCATTCAGAGTATCCAGATAAGTTATCATTCATATCTGAAGAAATAATACAATGCTTCATGAACAGGCAACAGCGTAAGATGTTTATACTATTGAAACCAACTTTACAAGAGCATTAGTTAACCTGATAATTTTTAAAAAAACACTTTACATTTATAATTTCTAGAAAACTATAGCAAAAAGTTTCAATATCTCAATAATCTCACCTAATATCAATGGCCTGAACTTGGCAACCAAGAGGCACAGAATGGCAGGATGAATTAAAAAACTAAACCTAAGTTTTTGCTTTGTATGAGAGACATACCTGACATAACTGTTATGGGAAGCACAGATTCAAAGTCAAAGACTGGGAAACTCTTTCAGGCAAACAATTGCCTTAAAAAGGTTGTGATCACCATACATATGTCAGATATCATAGATTTCACTATTAAAAAGATTATGAGGGACAGGTAGGGCATTATTTAATGATCATATATACTGAATAAAATACATACATGCCCCTAATGATGGCTCCTCAAAATGTTTAAGTCAACTTCCAATAGATCTGAAGAAAGATATTGAAGCATTGTAATAGTATGTGATTTTGTTTTTGTATTTGGGGCCATACCAGGTGATGCTTAAGGTTTATTTTAGGTTCTGTGCTCAGGGCTGGAGCGATAGCACAGCGGGTAGGACGTTCGCCTTACAAGTGGCCAACATGGCCGACCCGAGTTCGATTCCTCCGCCCCTCTCGGAGAGCCCGGCAAGCTACTGAGAGTATTCGATATGCCAGACACAGTAACAACAAAGTCTCCAATGGAGACGTTACTGGGCCCGCTCGAGCAAATCGACAATCAACAGGAGGGCCTTTACCTTTTTACCTTTACCTGTGCTCAGGGGTCACTCCTGGTGATGCCTGGAAGACCATATGCCAGGGATCCAGGTATAGAGCCATATCAACCAAGTGCCCTACTCACAGTACTATTTCTGTTGCCTAGAAGTAAGCAACTTTTACGCTCCACTCTATGCTGGATATACTAGCTAGGCAAAAACTCAGTAGGGACACATTGACCTTAAAGAATGAAATGGAAGAGATGATTCCCACAGATGTTTATATGGCACAGAACATAGCTCCATAAGATGGACAGAGACATGAATACCATAATGCAAAAACAATAGGAATTTTATTCCAGTATACTGGAGTCGACTATTCACCCACAGAGTGATCTCTCTTGATAGCGACCTCAACTTCAGGCAGCAAGCAGTTTATACAGGATTTGATTACATACATGCCTTCTTGTTTCAGAAAGAATCTGTTACCAAAGGTGTTTTGCAAGTGTCTAGGGTAACAGTGGTTAGGCAACAATTAAACAATAATTTCCAGTATCGGTACCAATTTTATGATTATATAGACTTCTCATTTTTTTAGGGTCCACAAAAAGCAGCTTCTGGGGTACTGTGAGAATTGATTCATTGAGCCCACTTGCTGAGCCCAGGAACTTTGCCAGGTGGGTTCAGGTTGGCTAGTTTTATTGTTGGATTGCTGGGAAACGGACTCTCTTTCAGTTCCGGGAACTGAGCCTAAGACTTACCTGATTTTTCTCATTTCTGATGCCTGTCATGGCGTCAGTTTTTCCCTTTCACTTATAGTGCCCTCATTTCTATCTTCATCTTCTTATGTTTTATTGTCAGTTTTTTTCCATTGTTTGTTCGAGCTCCTTAAGCATCCTCAGCATTTCTCCTCTAAAGTTCTTGTCAGAGAATTTATATTACTTGCTTTTATTGGCTACCATATTCTCTCACTAAATCTGGTGGGGTTCCTCATTGGTTTCCCATTATGATTTTTGCACTCTGGAATTTTTTCCTGTGTTTTTCTTGTGTGTTTTTGTGTGGCTCAATGACTAGGGTTAGGATGTCTTTGTATGCGCATAGTAAAATAGGAAGAAGTGAGAAATGGCCAACTGTATGTGATTTGCAGGCAGTGGGGATCCTGACCTGGGGGGCAAGATGGCGATCCTGAATAAGAATCAGAGCCCCCAATTCTACTGCTGTGCTGCCTCAGTTTACTAGTATCAGGGTGGAGTGAGACCAAGCAGCGGGGTGGAAGGATCTAGCTTCCTTCTTCCTCATTTTCTAGTTTGTGTGCAGGGTGGGGAGGGGGGAATTTCTTACCTGGGGAGCAAAATGATCATCCTTTGTAACAACCAGCACTCGAAATGCTACTGCTGTGGTGCCTCAGTTTCCTGGGACTATAACTCAGAAATATACATTCTCTATACCATGAAAACAAGCAGTTAAACAATAGGTAAATTAAATATATTTAATAAATATAATTCATAGTTACTTAACATGTAGTTATAGCAGCATATTATATATGACTTTATAGAACATCAAGATACCTTAGAAATCTGGTCTGGCATTTTTGAAGGATTTGGATTCTTCTGTGATTTGCCTCATGGTGGGGAGAAATGACTGTGCCAAACAGTTCAGTCAAAGCTGTGATAATTTCTCTCTTACATATTTAACATGTGTGTGTATGCATATACCAACGTTTATTAAGTATCTATGATGATACTGTCTACATTTTAAATTCAATATTTCCTAAACTATGGAGGTTTTGTTTTTTAAAACAACTGTCTTCTACAACCTACCCTAACAGCACATGAAAAATATTAACTCAATACACTGGACATTGTGATTAAAAGTAATTAGTACCTCAATTAGAATGAAGAAATTGAGAAAAAAATTATATAAACCCACTTCCAAAGATGATCAATTATTTAATGAGTCTCTGATGTTAACTATGAAAGCATTCCTTTTCTTAGAAAAATAAGACTAATAATCAGTTCTTAATTTTGTGTCTTAATAGTTCTTATTGCCATCTCAGAAAGCCTTACTTCACGTAAAAGTGAACTGCATATGGGAATAAGTAGTACCTGTGTGTGGTGATTTAATAATCTTAAGTTTTAACTTACCATTCTTCAATCTGAAAATTTATGTTCACAAATAAACCCTGCTGACTACTCTTTTAGTGAAAAAAATCTAACGGACCAGTAAGATAGCTAACTAAAAGGATTATCATAGGCCCATAGATATCTAAAAGTCTTTATTTGGTTAACACAAAGTTTGTTACATAGCTATAAAAGTTCTACCTCACAGCATAGCTTTAGAAAAGTCTGGAATAAATGTGTGTGTGGATGGTGGTGGTGGAAGCATCCGTTACACATTGCAGGAGCTCCTTCTGAGATCAGGTACAAGACAAAGATGTCCACTCTCTCCACTTTCATTCAATACAGTATTAGAAGTTTTGGCTACAGCAATCAGGCAAGAAAATTATATCTCAAGGGGATCCAAATTGGAACAGAGAATTTAAAATGTCATTATTTGCAGTTGACATAGGTAAAGGTAAAGGTAAAGGCCCTCCCGTTGATCGTCGATTTGCTCGAGCGGGCCCAGTAACGTCTCCATTGGAGACTTTGTTGTTACTGTGTCTGGCATATCGAATACTCTCGGTAGCTTGCCGGGCTCTATATACATATATATACATATATATTATATATATACAGGGTGCAGGGTGGGGAGGGGGGAATTTCAATAGAAACAATAAACACAGCAAAGTGGCCAGATCAAGGTTAATACAAAACAACTGCTTGTGTTCCTATGTACAAAGAGTGAATCAGAGGAGAAAGAGATCAAGGAGTCAAGAACTCCTGCAGCTGCCAAGCAGCCAGTGTGTCTTATAACTCCCTCTTCCCCTCCCCGCACCCTCTCACACACACACACACCTTATTTCATTTTGGTTGTGATACTGATGACTAGAGGTTATACATACCTGGCTGTGGTATTTGCACATCTTTAGCTCTGGACATCTTTAGCTCTGGACTTGTCAGGGCTCATTGTGATGTTCACACAACATGCTTGCCAATAATTATACTTTTGGTCATGGAAGCTCACACATCAAATTACATTGTGATACTTGCTAAGGGTTATTCTCCTTTTGGTGGTGCCTTGAATACACACCTTGCTGTTCTGAGACTGGAACCACTTGCAGCCTCAGGGATTGCAGTCAATATTACTGTTAGACTCAAACATCAGGGCAGCCAGGATCATGTTTGTTGCAGGTGGTACACTAGGAATTTAAACGTGTCACCCTTTTCTTGCAATGCAAGTGATCTCTGATCTACAGCACCATATCTTTGGACCAGTCACTTTTCGTTTTTTGTTTGGTTTTGCTTTTTGGTCACACTCAGCACTGCTCAGGGGTTACTGCTGGCTCTGCAGTCAGGAATTACTCCTGGCAGTGCTCAGGGGACCCTATGGGATGCTAGGGATCGGACCCAGGTCAGCCGCCCACGTGCAAGACAAACACCCTACCCGCTAGTTCTCAAACTCAACTTCATAATGGAATTTTTAAAAACAGTGGGGAACTTTAAAAGATATTGATGCTTGGTCTACAATGCTAGAGCTCCTGATTAAATTTGTAAGGTCTGTACTCTGAGCATCAGAATCCAATAAAAATGTCCTAGAAGTGCAGCTAAAAAGTGTTCTTAAATGTGCAATTCAACTGATTTAGCACTGATTTCAGTGTTATTTTGAGAAAAAACTATTCATTTTAGATATCTGTTCTATATATTTTTCCTTGCAGGTTGCAGCAATCTATAAGGACTCAAGTATTGGAAATCTTATAAACATCGTAATTGTGAAATTAGTTGTAATTCATAATGAACAGGTGAGAAATGTGTGTAAATTTGTTGATATTATTTATAGAGAACTTTTAAAGTGCAAATATATATTGATCATGAAACTCTTCAGAAATGAAATTTTTGAAATATACACTAAACTAGATTTGAAAGGAAGTGAGAACTCTTTTATTCTGTTGTGGTGGAAATAAAATGTAATGACAACTGAGGCAGTGACAATAATTAAAATATCAAGGTTAAAAGCATTGTTACCTTTTATGGCTTATTTTCAATGGATATAAAATATATTTACTCTTATTTTGCTCTAGCGGGCCCAGTAACGTCTCCATTGGAGATTTTGTTGTTACTGTGTTTGGCATATCGAATACATCATGGGTGGCTTGCCAGGCTCTGCCGTGCGGGCGAGATACTCTCGGTAGCTTGCCGTGCTCTCCGAGAGGGGTGGAGGAATCGAACTCGGGTCGGCCATGTTGGCTGCGTGCAAGGCAAACACCCTACCGCTGTGCTATCGCTCCAGCCCTTAATTAACTCTTATTTAATTAATTTTTTGTGAAGCAGGATAGTTTCAGTTTTTATTAAATATACAGTTACTGATAGTTGCATTTTAGTATAAAATAGTGCAACACTGATATCTCCACCAGTGTCAACTTCACTCCATCAGTGTTTCCAGATTCCCTCCCCATACCAACTCCAATTCCATCCCTGACTGCCAACTTGATAGGCACACTTCAGAGTTTCAGTGATTACCACCTAGATCTTGTGTTTTCAGTTTTATTGAATTTGTGTTTTGGGTATATGGCTGTACCCCTCACTCTTATCACTGGTATAACTTAAGTCTATTAGCCCATTACTTCCCCTTCTCCTCTTCCCTTGATTTCCTTCCTTCTCCGTCTGTCTCCTCTCTAAATCCTGGGGTCAAGGATCATCTAAGCATCCCCCAAATGATAGTTCTAATTGATGAAACTTATTTAGAAAGACATAAGGAAAGAGAAAGAGATGATGTATTCAAATAAAACATAGGGTTGTCCAGAGTGGAAAAACAAGTAAAGATACATAGAGACAACTAATGACAAATGACAAATAGTGAGATGCATATTTAAGGGAGAATAGGTCTTCAAGAACTAGCTTAAATAGGCTAAGTTTTAGAAATGAGTTACATATTGAATTGTTAGAATAAGATGTCAAATTAGATTTAGATTTGATCACAGTTTTTTAAGAATACTAAATATGTTTGGTATCAAAAAGATGATACAATTTCACTTGCCTGTGAAAATACTGTTAGATAGGCCAAGAAAATAGTTCAAGGACCAAGCGCATGTAGGATCTCAAATTCAATCCTGCACCACGTCATCTCTTGAGCACTTGCAGAAGAGGCACCAACACTACACCGGGGGTATCCCCTTTAGCACTGTAGATGTGGCCCAAAATAAACAAACAAAAAACTATTTGAAAAATTGTATGGATGTTAACAGACTTGGAAAAGAGACCAGATTTTTGTTTTAATGTAATATTGATTTATTTTGTGTGTGTGTGTGTGTGTGTGTGTGTGTGTGTGTGTGTATGTATGTATGTGTGTGTGTGTAGGAAGGACCAGTCATCAGTTTTAATGCGGCTACCACACTGCGCAACTTTTGTTCATGGCAACAAACGCAGAATATTTTTGATGATGCTCACCCTTCCCACCATGATACTGCTGTTCTTATCACTAGGTACAGTTTTACAAATAACGTTTTGGTCTTTATCTTTTCTTTCCTTAATGACCACCAGTGCTTCTAATTACCTAATCCTTTACCAAAATATGTGGCAATGTTTTATTTAAACTTGTATTGTTAAATATACTTTGAATGAGACCTTAAAAACTGATCAGATTGCTAGCTGACTCCTTATGAAATCAGCAACAGTAGGCTGCTAAATAATAGTTTTGGTCTAATAAGAATGGTTGACTTCTATTCGTGACAGAATAAGAGAACTTGGAAAAATATTTGGAATTAACTAATGAACTGAGAAAAGGTTTTGTTTTTTCCCCACTTGATCTTTCAGGCACTTGGAAAGAGTTTTTAGATTTAGTTGATTATTCATTTTCCTACATTTAAAATTAAAACTTAAAATAAATTCTTTGGTCTGATGAATTACTGGGCTTCTACTACGATTTTCCTCATCTATTATAGAAGGAAAAATTTCTGCTTTTATAAAGATTAGTGGTGCCATTTACAAACACTGCTGTACATTATGAATTCATAACTTTGTTTTAATAACATTGATTCTACCAGAATATTTAGAACTTATATTTGTTATTTATTTGTTTGGTTGACTGACCAAAGGAAATACATCTTTCACTAAGTGGTCAAACTCATAATTCCAGAGTTCTAAATTCCTGAAATGAAAACTTAGTTTATTTGAAATAACTGGTATATTATTTACGTTCTTTTCTTCTTTTCAAAATTGAGGACACAAAGTTGACTTTATACACTGTAGTCTACCATCTGTCCATAATTCTAAATTGCAGTTAGAGGTTAAGCAACAAAGATGGTAGGTAACAGGTTAAAAGGGTATTATACATAAAAGCAGAGGTGAAAATATAGATAGCTTTCCATTAAATTGATCAGACCTTTAACAGTACACAGTAACTTTTACATAACACCTATTTCTTGATATACTCAAATGGTATTGATATACTCCATATATACATCTATATTATTTATATACTCTACATTTAAAATTACTGAGACTATAAAAACTGACTTTTAGAAGTTCATTTGGGTGATTATCATCGAATGCTTTATTTTAATTTTGAATAGTAATATTTTCTGAAAATACTGAAAAATATTTTGTCTTCAGGGAAGACATTTGTGGATCTAAAGAGAAATGTGACACATTAGGTAAGTTATGGTATAAAAATTGCTTATGTAATTGTTTATTAAATTAGTTTTGTTGTATGCTTTTATCATTTTATATTTCTTTTGATTATGTATGACACTAGTATTTGACGCAGATTCTATAAATTTTAATTTCAAAGATTATGTAATATGAGGCTACACTTTTTAGAGAATAATAACTAATATTATTAGCTTTATTCTAAGTATATAGAACAAACTTTATACAAATTTAAAGCAAAACATTAATACAAATAGCCATGATTAGCCATGAATGATTGTCAGATTTAGAACTTTATTGATATAGGTAGATGGCCTATGTTAAGTTCTTACTTTGCTCTCTTGTTATTTTCTAATAGGTAGACAATTCTATGAATTGTCACTCATGGATGATTCTGTTAATATCTTATTTTTTTCTCATCTTGTTTTTAGTCTCACTTTCTGTCATTAGCTATGTAGACCAGATACAAATAATCTACAGTTACACTTTTAATGTTAAAATTGCATATTTTTAGCTTATATTTTTTGTGATTTTTCTGCCTTATCACTAATTGTGCTTTAAATTAACTTTGACTAAAGCTATCTCCTATATTATATCTTGTATCATTGAAGTTTTGTTTGATACTCTCTAACCTACATGCTATTATTTTCTTTGATTTTAGTTTAATTTTTGAAAAGTTTGAATGTTAGAGCATAATGTGTGATATACAATATTTGTTTAAATTTGTGTTTATATATACAACATATATAAATATATGTATATATAAACATTTTTTTGAATCACGGTGAGATACAGTGACAACTTTCTTGTTTGAGTTTTAGTCATACAATTTAGTCAAACACCCATCACTCCACCAGTGCACATATTCCACCACCAATATCCCCAGAATCCCCCACATATCCCACCCCTCCCACTGCCTCTGTGGCATATGGACATTATGGTTTACAGTACAGATACTGAGAGGCTATCACGTTTGGTCCTTTATCTACTTTCAGCACACTTCTCCCATCCTGAATAATCCTTCCAACCATCACTGACTTAGTGATCCCTTCTCAATTCTTGCTGCCTTCTCCCACAGCTCATGAGGCAGGCTTCTAGCAATGGAACAACATCCCTGGCCCTGTCTCTACTGTCCCTGGGTGTCAGTCTCATTTCATGTTATTTTATTGACAAATGAGTGCAGTCCTTCTATATTTGCCCCTCTCTTTCTGACCCATTTCACTTAGAATGATCCTCTCCATGTCCATCCACTTACAAGCAAAGTTCACGACCTCATCTATCCTAACCGCTATGTAATATTCCATTGTGTAGATGTACCAAAATTTCTTTTAACCAGTTGTCTGTTCTTGGACACTCGGGTTGTTTCCAGATTCTGGCTATTATGAACAGTGTTTCAGTGAACATACAAGTGCAGATGTCATTTCTACTGTGCCTTTTTGCACCCTCAGTTACTAATAGGTAACTATTAGTAACCCTCAGGATATATTCCCAGAAGTGGTATTGCAGGGTCATATGGAATCTCAATTTCTGGTATTTGAAGGAATGCCCATATTGTTTACCCAAAAGGCTGGACCAGTCAGCATTCCCACCACCAATGAAAGAGAGTCCCATTTTCCCCACATCCATGCCAGCCCTGGTTGTCCTTGTTCTTTTTGACATACGCCAGTCTCTGGTGTGAGATACCTTATTGTTGTTTTGATTTGCATCTCCTGTATGATTAGTGATGTAGACCATTTTTCATGTGCCTTTTCGCCATTTGTATTTCTTTTTTTGAGGAAGCTTCTGTTCATTTCTTCTCCCCATTTTTTATGGGGTTGAAGGATTTTTTTTTGTTGTTGTACAATTCTACTAATATCTTGTATGTGCTGGTTAATAATCCCTTAACTATTAGTAACATTGATGTAACCTAAAACTTTAGTATTATTGATTTGTTCTTTTACTGTAGCACTGTCCTCCTGTTGTTCATTGATTTGCTCGAGCGGGCCAGTAATGTTTCCATTGTAAGACATTTTACTGTGTTTGGCATATCTAATGCATCACAAGGAGCTTTCCAGGCTTTCCTGTGTGGGCGAGATACTCTTGGTAGCTTGCTGGCCTCTCCAAGATGGGGCGGAGGAATCGAACCTGGGCTCACTGGGTTGGCCACTTGCAAGGCAAATGCCCTACCCGCTGTGTTCATTTTATGTTTTTTAACAATATTTTCTTTAAAAATCCATCAAAAATCTTGCTAAAATATTTCAACTACAAATCATATTTTCTTTACCTTATAAAATATTTATGCAGCATTAATAGCTAACCTCTCCAATTTTTCTTATATTCATGGTAAGTATCTTAAAATTTAGCTATTCGTATATAATATTGGTATCATTTCCAATTTTGATGAAATACAAATGTTAAAATTTTCAGGTTTAGCAGAATTAGGTACCCTGTGTGATCCTTTACGCAGCTGTTCTGTCAGTGAAGAAAATGGACTCAGTGCTGCCTTTACAATAGCTCATGAACTGGGGCATGTGTAAGTACCGGAAGTCACCTGAGGAATGTGCCTTTTATTTATCACTGTAGAGTGCCTGAAATTCTGTTTTAAATTGAATAGTTAGTATTTGTGCTTATTTAGAAAGTGTTATTTTCATCTTTACCCCTGAAATGCTAACTTTGGATCCTCCTTGAACTATGTTGTATCAGACGGGCTTCATAGATCAGTAAACCAAGAAAATATCTAGAATATAGGAATTACTTTGTTTCGTTTACTGTTTGGATTATTTGACAAGTGCTTCTGGCCTCTATCCCTTGTTAGCATATACATGATCAGATACTGTTCTTTATCACATTGGTGGAAGGAATACAGTGACTCTTGGTTCTGAGAAATTCTGCCCCCACCCCCATTTTTGTAATGCTATTTCTTAATTGTATAATGTAGAATCCCAGCAAAATATGTACCATAGGTGAATTTTCTACTTACAAAAGTTTTCAGATTTTTATTGTTTGCATTTTGTTTCTTTGTAAAAATCTTGGATTCAATTTCTGCATTATTAAAAAGTTGCAGTTCTAATAATAGATGTATGATTTCCTGTAATTTTTTACTTTATAAAAAATCATAAGTTTTTATAAAATTCATCTTCTGAAAAATAACTCTAAAGATATTTAAGGAAATTAATATTCCTGTGTTCTTGGTTTTCTGTTGATAATGAATGAAAGATAGTGTTATCTTAGTTTGAGAGCATTTTCTTTTTCTGGTCATGTTTTGACATCATTATTCAGTTGAGATAATTTAAGTGGAGATCATTTTCACTGAAATACTACCTCTATAGTTCACTTTTGACATGGTTATACCTCATCCTATACTCAAAATTTTAATTTCTTTTTTATAATGAGGGATAGGATAAGGATCAAATCAGAGGCCTGTAGATATATTGCAGTAACATTTGGAAAATATTATTTGTCACTTTCAAGACTGTGCTTATAGAAAATCATCACAAAAAAAATCACAAATCATCCTGTTATTCGTCGATTGCCTCGAGCAGGCCCCAGTAACGTCTCCTTCATCCTAGCCCTGAGATTATATTCAAGGCTATTTTAGGAGAATGAGACACATCATTGTTACTGGTATTTGGCATATTGGGTACGCCAAGGGGCGTATGCCAGACTCTGCCCTGTGGGCAGGCTACATTCAGTAACCTGCCAGTTTGTCCAAAGTAGAAAATCATATTAGGAATTTATTTTCTTCCTTGAAAATCATTATCTTTAGAATATAGCTAAGTAGTTTAATTATAAAAGGCTGACTTTAACACAGATCTCACAGAAAAGAACCCGAATCAGATTATTTAAATAATGCTTTAAAACACAAGTTTATATGTTCAAAAGTGCATAGAATTTGTTTCCTATCAATGTGTTATTTAATGTCTTTATAGTAAATAATTGTTTGCCCATTTAGAATATTTTATTTCAAGCTATCATAACTTATTGAAATAGATCAGAAAAATTCTTGAACATCTTCACATAAAATAGGTGGATACTTTAGAATTATATTTTGAATTAAATAAATTTTATTGATACTGTATTAACAGTCACTGGTCTGTAATTTATTGGCAATATTGCCTTTACCTGCCTCTCAGCACATATCTCTTAAGATAGACCATTTTTTGCTTTTGTTTTGGGGACTACTACCATATGTGCTTGGGGCTTACTCCTGCCTCTGTGCTCCAGGATCACTCATGAAATTCTCTGGGGACTATATGTGGTACTGGGGTTGAAATCATGTTGGCTGAATGCAATCAAGTTCTTTAATCCCTGTGTTATCTCTCCAGCTCCAGGGTAATAATTTTGAAATATGTAGGTAATCTTATATGAATATTATGTCTGTGCTGTGATGAAATGATCTAGAATCCAAATTTTTAATTTTTTAGTCTCTTACTAAACCAGTAGACTTTGCTACTGATCAATGTTATTATAGTCCAGAGAACATGTACAAATATTAAGGTAACCCTAGAATGCATCATGGAGACATTGATAGTATAAATTTGGATAGTATCATATTTATATCTGTTGCTAATATACACATTTTTCTATTATGTTTATTTTTATTTTTAGATTCAATGTGCCACATGATGATAGTTTTAAATGTAAAGAATATGGAATTAAGAATCAGTACCATGTAATGGCTCCAACTTTAAATTACCACACAAGTCCCTGGACCTGGTCAAAATGTAGTCAGAAATATATCACTGAATTCCTTGAGTAAGTCTGAATCTATGTTACCTTAGTTAAATCATTTTAAGTGATTATATTATATATTTTGAATTTCTAAGTTTTTAAAAAAATAATACAATTTTCATTTAGTTTTTATTATCTAGATTTAAGCTTGGTTTTACTGTGCAAATGAATATTCCTTCTTTTAAAAGAAGGTTGTGTTGCATGTTATCTTCTAAATTTTTCTTGGAAGACAGCTCAGACCTATTTTATTGTTAAAACCTTTCTTGAGCGCCAAAGTGGGTAGGGCCCTTGCACTTAAATGCAGCTCCCTGGGTTAGATCTTCATACCCTATATTTTTCCCTGGGCCTGTCAGGAGTGAAACCTGAGCACCCCAAGCTGTGGCTCCAAAAAACCAAAAGGAAAAAAATAGGATAGTGTTGCTTTTTAAGAGTTTTGTATGATGACATTTTGTGGTGGTGTGTTTGAGGGGGGAGGGGAGATAATGAGAGTTACAGCTTTTTTGCATGTATTTTCATTGCAAAACTACGAAGACAGTATTTCAACACACCACTTGAGTGGTTCAACTTTGAGGTTCCTTGGAAGGAAGTAAAGTCAAGTAAAACTATGAGTGTTTCAAATAATGCTTTAAGATCACAGGGTTAGAGACTCTAGCTTAGCTATTCTTGTGAAGGCTCTCGGTAGAGCTTTCTCATCTCAGAAGAGAAATGGCAGATCCGGATTTTCTTGCCACATTTCTGTCTCATATCGGATTTCTCTATTCTTCAACTTATTTTTATCCAAAGAATATTTCCTACTTATTGAAACTTGTCCAAAAGACAAGCCCAAGCTTATTTTCAGATGATTATTTTTGTTTTAGTACAGTGTTGTTTTATTTCTTTTGCATATTCTAACTACCAACTCACATCAGTAGATTCTATTACATCTCTTGTTATGAGAATTATGAGAATAAAGGAGGCCATGCCTTAAATGTATGTTCATAATATCTGTCACTGTCCTCCCATTGTTCATCGATTTGCTCGAGCGGGCCCAGTAATGTCTCCATTGGAGACTTTGTTGTTACTGTGTTTGGCATATCAAATACATCACGGGTAGCTTGCCAGGCTCTGCCGTGTGGGCGAGATACTCTTAGTAGCTTGCCAGGCTCTCCGAGAGGGGCCGAGGAATCGAACTCGGGTCGGCCATATTGGCTGCTTGTAAGGCAAACGCCCTACCGCTGTGCTATCGCTCCAATATCTACCATAATCTACCATAATTATAATTACTAGTTATTTTAAATATACTTATGGTAACCTATTTAAAGGCATAGGGTTTATCATTTGCTGATCAGGACTGTGTATAGCTTTGTGCAGTGGCTAGCTGAGATATTGTTTTAACATGCTAAGTTTGTATTAGATAATATTTTATCTTCAGAATTTTAAAAGTTGCATTAATTTCTGGACAAATTCAATATGTCTTTCCATCCAATACAATTTTTAAAAAATTCTCTTAATTATCATAATGTGAAATATTGTTGCAGAACTAACCAAATTGGGATGACTTTTTCACAAAGATTTCTGGAGACTGGATATTGCAACAAGCTAGGAGTTACGAATTTCCCTGAAGCTAACCACTTTTTAAATTCTTTTAAGTATAAAATGTCACTATTCTAATAGCAATCCAAAAGATTTTACACTTTCAATTTACGGAAGACAAAACTTTGACTAAATAACTTATTTACAACCATATATCTTGGTTATATGCCTTGAGAAACCTCTTTAAAATAGAGAGAAAACTTTTGGAAATTTCATTATTTTTGTGTTGTAACATAATCAGTAATACATATTTTGTAAATTATATTCTGATTAAATTTATTTTTATTATTTATCACTTGATCACCTGACTTCCTGTTAATCATCGATTTGCTCAAGCGGGCGCCAGTAACGTCTCCATTCGTCCCAGTCGCGTGCTAGTGTAGCCCAATGGCGTCTGTTCTTACTATTATTTATCATACATTGTAAATTACAACTTTCAAGGACGTTGTGAATCTCAAATGAGAATAAATACATATAAATCCTTTGTAAACTGTGAGGTTTTTCTTACTAGAATGTTCTTTATTCTTTAAAATATGAAAAAATAGTGGTATTATCTTTGACAGTGTAGAACTACAGAAAACATGACAGAAAATTTTATATTTCAGTGTATCTGTACAGACTAATGATGTTTATTTTCTGTCATGGTACAGTACTGGTCATGGAGAATGCCTCCTTGACAAACCAAATGGAAGAGTATATGATCTGTCTTCTCAACTTCCTGGATTGATATATGATGTGAATAAGCAATGTGAACTTATGTTTGGTCCTGGATCACAAGTGTGTCCTTATTTGGTAAGAAAAATTGTTTTTTGTTAAAAAGTTGCTTTTTGAAAGTTATAGTTAGAATATATTTCAAAATGCACATTTATTCTCTTAAAAAGAGAGTGTACTTGACATATCAAGTTTTCTAAGTCTTAGAAAAATGTAATATTTTACAGAAGTTTCAGAAAAGAGCGATTAACATTTATTGAGTCCCACTTCCTGAGTTGCCAGAGTTTCCCATATTTTAAAATAAATCATACTTGCTATATGCCAGCACTATTATAGATGTGAAAATTACTTCCATTTTGTTTACTGTTTTGAGCACTTGACTCCTGTCTTGAGCTCAGGTATCACTCCAGGGGGTCCTCAGGGGATCGTATGCAGTCCAGACATGACCTTCGATTTGCTGTGTGAAAGGCAAATGTGTACTCACTATACTATCTTTCCAGATGCACACAATATATTTTTTATAGAAATCTTTAATTACCTAAATGTCTGTGAAATATTATCCAATAGTCACAGAAAATTAAAACTTTAATATAATTATCAAAATAATTCAAATATTTTTATTAAAATTAAATTATTTAAGGAGTTACTGTCACTGTCCTCCGGTTGTTCATTGATTTGCTCGGGCGGGCCCAGTAAGGTCTCCTTTGTGACACTTGTTACTGTGTTTGGCATATCGAATATGTCATGGGGAGCTTGCCAGGCTTTGCCGTGGGGGCGAGATACTCTCAGTAGCTTGCTGGGCTCTCAGAAAGGGGCAGAGGAATCAAATCCATGTCGGCTGGGTCAGCTGTGTGCAAGGCAAATGCCCTACCCTCTGTGCTATCACTCCTCTAGACCAACAGGTGTAGAGTCAAATCCCATGCTCTAGTGGCTGGAGAGGGGGGTCATGATGAGTATCGTGGGCTCACACTAAGAACTGGGAGTGTGTTAACCATGTGAGTTAGGAAGGACAGTGTAGGATAACTTTGGTTTGCCATTCCTCCCTGGCTGGTGGAAGCTTGTGTTTGTTGATTGCCCCCCAACCTGTCAATTACCTTTGTCTCCTGATCAGACTCTGACCTGTAAATATTGTCTTTCTCTTCTCCTTAATGTCTTTTGCATGGTTATTATTTCAGAGCAGTTGCTTTTTGTATGAACACAGGATTACAGTTAAAAAGACAAGCTTGTGGCTTGGGTGTTGATTGACTCCCTTTAATATACCTCCTGGACATCTGCTCTCTCGACTTCAGCCTCAGCTGCCCTTACTTCCTGGATCCCCAAAAGCAGGGTCCTGACGTGGAACTGGATGGACCCAGGGCAAGCGGTGAGCTATGAGCTTCCCTGGCATCAAAATGGGCCTTGCCAAAGTGCCCTAATGCTTGGTCATGGACAAACTCTGTCAACTCTAGATTTGGACCCTGCTGGGGTTAGGAATGATTGATCTGTCCTGAGCACTGTAGTCTGAGTCTGTGGTAAGATGTTCCCAGGAGAGTCTATAAGCCTAAAAGTGTCTAAAACTGTGTCCATATAGAATGGTAAATATTAGGAAGAAGAATTAAGGATGCTAATTAAGTTGCAGGTCTAAGGAGAGGAGAAACACACCAAGGCCTGTTTTGCTCTTGTGGGCTGCAGGCGGTTGGGAACTCTGGAAAAACATTCTTGATCACGCTTCCCGTCGGGAGGCATGGTTGGGAAGGCATGTGAAAGGATATAAAAGAGGGGCTGGGGGGAGAAAGTATTGGAGATTGTTGGATTGGGGTATTGATGGTTGGAGAAATGGATGGATTGACTGATGAATGGATTGACTGAAGAAGAAGGAGAGACAGCAGAGAGATAGAGGAGATGGATACAGGGTGAAAAAAGAATTGCCTGGTTAGAGAGAGAGAGACATGGGGGGGTGGAGAGAGAGGGGGGGATGAGAGAATGAATAAACAGCAGCTAATCAGCAGCCAGCTTGGCCTTCATTCTTCCTTCGTCCATCCAAGGCAGCAGCCATCGGGTTGGGAAAGCTTCTCGAGTGCAACGAACACGGGCGGCGAGAGAGAGCAGCTTGGAGAGCCCGCGGACATCCTTTCACGTGTAATCCCATGTGCATGAGGGGTTTACACAGTCCTGTGGTTGGGGAATTTCGCAGCTCCCCGCTAGCATGAGGATGTTTTTACATGACAGTGGCTTCTGGGGGCTGCTGCAGAGAAAGGGAATCTCGGAGCTCATCTGATGAAGGGTGGGAAATAGACAAGTTGATGGGAGTTTCATGCTCAGTGGACACAGGAACCTGATGGCTGGTGGTGCTCTGTGGATGGATCTAGGGTAGTTTCGGGCCTTAATTTTTTGTTATAAAATATGAATGTATTTCCTGTATGATTTAGAAGCTTAGTAAACTTAGAAGCTGAATTTATTTTTCAAAGAGATGGGAATTACCTACTATATAGCTGCAGTGAGCCTTTGTGAATTTTTGCTTTGACTGAAAGTCTCAGATTCCTTTGCTTAAAAGTTGAAAGTAGGGGCTGGAGTGATAGCACAGCTGATAGGGCCTTTGTCTTGCATGCGGCCAACCTGGGTTAGATTCCCAGCATCCCATATGGTCCCCCGAGCACTGCCAGGAGTAATTTCTGAGTGCATGAGCTAGGAGTAACCCCTGTTCATTGCTGGGTGTGACCCCCCAAAAAAGCAAAAAAAAAAGTTGAAAGTGTACATTTTATTCACAAAATAGAAAAAAGGAATACATTATACAGTGTTTCTATGCACATTATAAATACACTCACTATTAACAACACAAAGTCCTTTAGAAAAATTTGCTACAAAGAGGGAAGATTTCTCGAATACTTTCTACTCTGATTTCTCTGATTGTAGGATGTTTGATAAAAATAAAAAAGTTATAAAAACTAAGTATGGCACTGTGTCTAAGAAATAATGAAATGTATATAGACACACCGAGCAAGCAGGGTTCCGCAAAGGATTCAGCACCATCGACCATATCCACACGATAACCAAGCTCATTGAGGTTTCTCGGGAGTTCAAGATGCCGCTCTGCTTAACGTTCATTGATTTAAAGAAGGCCTTTGATTCTGTTGAGACGGAAGCGGTCATTGAAGCCCTAGCCAATCAGGGCATTCAAGCCCAATACATCAGGATCCTCCGTGAGCTCTATTGCAGATTCACTACCAGGATCTCACCATTCTACAAAGAAGTGATCGTTGATGTCAAGAGAGGGGTGTGGCAGGGTGATACCATTTCACCGAAACTCTTCAGTGCCACCCTCGAGAACATCATGTGACGACTGGAATGGGAAGGAATGGGAGTGAAGGTAGATGGTTGGCAATTACACCACCTCCGCTTTGCTGATGACATTGTTTTAATAACGCCAAACATCAGCCAAGCGGCACAAATGCTGGCCGACTTTGACCGTGAGTGTGGAAAGGTAGGACTACAGCTGAATCTTACGAAGACAATGTTTATGAGAAACAGCCTTGTTCCTGACGCCCCATTCGCTCTCAATGGAACGACCATCTCCGAATGCAACAGCTATGTCTACCTAGGTCGAGAGGTCAACATGACAAATGACCTGGCACCCGAGCTGCGCAGGAGGAAGAGAGCGGCTTGGAACGCCTTCAAGAACGTCGAAGAAATAGCTAAGAGGACGAAGAACCTCCGGCTCCGGGCACATCTCTTTGATTCCACTGTTCTTCCTGCATTAACATATGCCTCAGAGACCTGGGCCCTACGTAAACAGGATGAGAACGCTATTCAGGTCTCCCAAAGAAGAATAGAAAGAGCTATGGTTGGAATATCACGTTTCACTCAAATGAGAGAACGAATCCGGAGTTCTGACATCCGTCGACGATCAAGGATCAGGGACGCTGTCTCATTTGCCAAGGTGTCGAAAATCAGATGGGCTGGTCACGTAATGAGATTTAAAGACGACCGTTGGACTAGAGCTGTTACTGATTGGATTCCACGGGATGTCAAAAGACCGCGTGGCCGCCCACCTACCAGATGGTCAGACTTCTTCGTCAAGATCATGAACGATCGGTTTGAGGCCCTTCATGTTCCCGGAGCGAAGAGATGCCATTGGGCTACACTAGCACGCGACAGGGACAGATGGAGACGTTACTGGCGCCCGCTCGAGCAAATCGACGACTAACGGGAAGTTAAGTGATTAAGTGATTAAGTGATATAGACACACATATAAAGCATTACTTTGTATTGAGTTGATATGGTGGTTTTGGGAGGCATTATTTTTATTTCATGCTGCCTTTTGTTACTCTGCAGAAACAATGCAGGCGTCTCTGGTGTACGAGTGCAGAAGGTGTTCATAAGGGATGTCGCACTCAACACATGCCACTGGCAGATGGAACAAACTGTGGTCCTGGGATGGTAGGTTTTCTGGAAGGGTGAGTTTTGTATCAAGCGATTACCCAATGATCCTTGTACCCTACCTTTTAGCACTCTGTGAAGTTGCTGTCAACTTTTGTTTTTGTTCAGTTAAGTGAATGTCCTTGTCTTCTTTATTTGAGTAGTTTATTGTCAAGTAAATTAAATATTAATTTTACTCTCATGGAAACAGCAGAGTAATACTGAGAGAACGTATACTTTTTATACTGATAGTTACATGATAAATATTTATTTTGTAGTTATTTAAAAATGAATATAGACAATAATTTGGCATTTCAACAAATTCACCTAAATCAAGGATGTAAGTATAATGAAAAATCTTAAGTAATTTCTTCAAAACTTTCTTGTTATTTATTTGTTCTAAATGTATTATAGCTATACAATAAACTGTCTACTATAACGTGTCTTTATAATTCTAATATCAGTCATGACTCCATCTGAATCTGCTAACAGCGTGCAAGGCTACTGTGGTTATGAAACATGTTATATATGAGGTTGAAATTACTTGCATTTGATACGCCAGAATGAATCAAGTCTATTTGGTCTAGGTGACTAATATTGTCTATATTGGATAAACATGTTGAAATGTACAAATATATAATAATCTGTTTTATTTTCCTGTTGATGGGCATTTGCAAGTTTCAACTTTTGGCTGATATGAAAAAAAGCTGTTCTGAACATCCACATATAAGTTTTGTGGACATACGTTTTCATTTCTCTTGAATAAATACAGTAGAATGTTGGATCATAGGAGAGCTTAATCTTCCTTTTTTTGTTATACTAAAAATTAGTTTTTTCCTTTTTTATAATTTTATTTATCGAATCACCATGAGAGCAGTTAGAAAGCTTTCGAGTTTAAGTCTCAGTCATACAATGGAACACCCGTCTCTTCACCAGTGCCCATTTTCCACCACCAAAAACCCCAGTACACCCCCCGTCTCTCACCCTCCCCCTACCTGTGGGGCAGATGATTTCCACATTACTCTCTCTCTTTACTTTGGTTACATTCAATATTTCAACACCAGACAGACCCCAACTTTACCCCAACACTCAGATCTGCTGAAAAGGCAACCATAGACAATTTATTTTCTATTGCTGGTTATGAATAGCACATGTCATGTGGCTGCGGTTAGTGGCCATGCGATTTTGGAATTCCGAAATTTTAACAGTAAAATCTGGAGGAATTTCTGCCAAAACCTGCTGGGTTCCGAGATTTGTTCCTGAGTCTCTTGGATCATGGCTGTTAAGCAGCTTGATCAGGAGCCAGAGAAGCCCTTTGTGGGTGGCGACTCGGGGTCTTGTTGGGGGTGGGGAGGAAAGGGCTGGCTCCACCCCCTCCTGTTAGGCTGCACGTGTCTCATCACTGAGGGCCCTAAACTGACTGTCTGATGGCCTCTGGAGGATGGCAGCCACCGAGCCACCAACAGGGAGCAGGTGAAGGGACAGCACCCTTTCCCCCCTGTGGTGGCCCAACAACAGTGGGGTCCGAACGCATTTCTGCCAAAACCTGCTGGGTTCAGAGATTTGTTTCTGAGTCTCTGGGATCACAGCCATTAAGCAGCTTGATCAGGAGCCAGACAGGCCACTTGTAGGTGGCAATTCGGGGTCTTGTTGGGGCAGGGAGGAAAGGGCCCGCTCCACCCCCAAACCGTGAAGGCCCGCGTGTCTCGTCACTGGAGGCCCAAACCTGACTGTCCAGTGGCCTCTGGAGGATGGTGGCCACTGAGCCGCCAGGGGGAATAGACTAAGGCACAAAACCTATTCCCACCTGGGGTTGCCTGGCACCAGTCACTTACTACAGGTACTGGACACATTTCTGCCAAAAGCCGCTGGGTTTTGATGTTTGTTTCTGAGTCTCAGGGATCATGGCCATTAAGCAGCTTGATCAGGAGCCAGAGAGGCCGTTTGTAGGCAGCGACATAGGGGTCTCGTTGGGGTGGGGAGGAAAGGGCCAGCTCCACCCACATCCCTTGGGGCCATATAGGTCTCGTCACTGCAGGCCGAAACGTGACTGTCCAATGGCCTCTGGAAGATGGTGGCCACCAAGCCACCAAGGGGGAGGAGGTGGAGGGACAACACCCTTTCCCCACTGGGGTGGTCCATTGCTGGGACGGACGCATCTCTGCCAAAAGTTGCTGGGTTCCGAGATTAGTCTCTGAGTCTCTGGGATCATGGCTGTTAAGCAGTTTGTTCAGGAACCAGAGAGGCCATGCGTCCAATTATGTAGCTGAGAGGGAAGTGGTTTGTGGGTGTGTTTCCCACATACCAAACTTTTGGCCGTTTAGTTTCTTGGTAAATTTTGCCTCAAGTTTTTGGGGTCTGGCCAAAGGCATAGCAGCAATTTGGTGGTATCTGGAAGTCTGAAAGCGCCATTAGGCTTCTGATGCACTCACCTCACAGGTACAGATTAAACTGTTGGTTGCACCATACCCTCTGAGAGCTTAATTTTCTAGGAAAATAATAATTTTCTGAAATAGGTAGACTATTCCTCCTTGCATTATATGAGAAGTTATTGCTCTGAATTGATGATTTTTTAAAATTTTTAACAAAAATTTGGGACTGGAGTGATAGCACCTCAGGTAGGGTATTTGCCTTGCATGTGGTCGACCTGGGTTCGATTCCTCCATCCCTCTTGAAGAGTCCAACAAGCTACTGAGAGTCTCTTCCCCGCACAGCAGAGCCTGGCAAGCTCCCCGTGGCATATTCGATATGCCAAAAACAGTAACAACAAGTCTCACAATGGAGTCACTACTGGTGCCCGCTCGAGCAAATCGATGAACAGTGGGAGGACAGTGCTAACAAAAATTTGAACAAAAAATATAGTCATTCTTTGTGAGGTTAAGTGGAATATCACTGCAGTTTCAACATATTGTTTTCTGATTGTCTATTTTCATGTGTTACTTAATCATTTGGGCATGAGTTTGTTGAAATGGACATGAGTTTGTTGAAATTCAAAATATATGTGATGTGATACTGAAACCCAGTTTAAAACCCTAATTGATTAAAAGTAAGGTAGCATTTGAAGTATTAATATAGGTCATGGATTATATTTTTCTCTTTTTTATTAGTTGAATATTTTAAGACTTTAGGTGTTAGCCATGTTTAGTATTAAATGGACTTTTTATTCAAGACAAATTTTATTTGTTTTTTGTTTGTTTTTGGCCGACACTCTGGTGCCCAGGGCTTACTCCTGGCTTTGTGTTCAGGGATCACTTCTGGCAGGACTGGGGGTACCATTTTGGGTTCTGGGTATTGAAGCTGAGTTGACTGTGCAAGGCCATCTCCCTGCCTACTGTACTACTTTTCCAGCCCCTCAATAGAAATTTTAAATAAAAACACTGTATGTTTATTTCACCACTTCATCTTTGACAATCTGACTTGTGAGACTACCTCTTTAATGCTTCTCATAGTAAATTCATTTGCATGAAGCCATGGTGTACTCATTTAACAATGAGTTATTTTTTTCTGCATACTGCTTGGTACAACTTTCATTATTTTTATGCTCTTTTTATTTTCATATATATAGAGGAAGTGAGAGAGAGAGTACTTATGAGGGAGAATGCAAGAATGCTTGAGTATGAGCAAGGATTATTTAATAGTTTCTGGAAGATGTTCATACATTTATAGGAACTTAATACTTTTTAGTTTGATACTCATTTTTTTGTTCACTTCTATGTGTTTTTCTGATAATGAATGATTTGTTCCAAAGGAGAGCACATAGCAAGTTATTACTAATGAATACATTTGGTTATAAGATTCACTGATTTAATTATTTATTTTTGAGGCTTTTTCTGAAGGGGAAGGAACACATGTGCTCAGAAGACCCTCCTGGAGAGGCTCAGGGGTCATCTGTGATGCTCTGTACCAAACCCTGTTCAGCCTCATGAAAGGCAAGTGCCTTATGCACTGTACTATCTTTGGCCACTTCATTCGTTTAAAAATTTTTAAATAGAATATTACTCAGCTTTAAAAGAATGGACATGTTGAAGACATGTCCATAAAACATGGAGTAGTAGACTACAACAGGGAAAATGAACCCGTTAAAAATTACAACCAGAAATCAACTGTATATCATATACAACGCTCATCAGCTTTTTATTGAGGCTCTTTGATCGATTTAAGCATCAGCAATTTTAAAGGTGGTTGATCCAAAGCCTGTGATAGTGATGGGATAGAGAAAAGGAGGTAAAAGCTTCATCCAGCTACTTACTAGGCAAACAAATAACTCTTGAGCCAAACCATAATGCCCAAAAGTAGAGAGAGAATATGGGGAATGTTGTCTGCCATGGAGACAGGGGGAGGGTGGGAAAGGGTGGGATATACTGAGGACATTGGTGGTAGGGAATGTGCACTGGTAGAGGGATAGGTGTTTGATCACTGTGTGATGGTAACCCAAACATGAAAGCTTGTAACTATCTCACAGAGATTCAATAAAATAAGATTTTTTTAAAAGCACTGATGGCTGCAGAGGCTTAGCACTGGTGGAGTAGAACAGTGTTTGTGCATAGAAAGCTTCTATAACAAAAGGTTCAGTCACTCAGAAAAAAAGAATAAGTGAAAGGAAAGATAAAATTCATGTAATGATTCAAGTAGAAGAAAAGAAACAAGACTTATGAAAAATATGAAGAAACTCTTTGAGAAATAATAGATGCCAGTATATGAAGGGTACAGAAGGTGAAGAGAGATAGAAGGAAACAGAACGTCTTTCTAAAGATGTAAGAAATGAGAATTTTTCAGATGCTTAGGAAATTGTTAGAATATCAAAGTTCTTAAATGCAAAAATACATAAAAGATACGTCATTGTTAAATTATCAAAATCAAAAGAATAGAAAGAATATTAAGGTCTGCTAGAGAAAAAAATATATAACAGAGGTTCCTCATTCAGATTGTCATATTTCTCAACAGAAATGCCACAGAGAGAGAATGGGATGATGTATTTGCAGTTCCAAAATATAAAAGTTTTTAGACAAAATATTTCACAGATTAGCACTAAAACATAAAAAAAATAAAAGGTAGAGTTTACCCTCACCAGACTTGTTCTGCAAGAGTGATGATAATCCATAGATATATGATTCACCCTCACCAGACTTGTAATGTAAGAAATGTCAAAGGGAGTTTGGTAGGAAAAGAAAAAAACAAAACCTTGAGTATGGTGATTAGTATTAAAAATTAAAACCAAAAACACAAAATGAGAACAAAATATCAAAGGGTAAAGAACAAATATATTTAAAGTAAAAATTAATCATTGATATCAGCACAAAATTACTCAGATAAAGATAGATTGTCAAACCGTATGGTAACACAAAACAAAAATATGGAACGAGACGCTTTAAAGAGAATTGAAGAAAATGAAACACTAAGAAAAATTATACAATACAAAATATAAAAAATAATGGGAAAGGAAACTAAAACTACAACCAACAGAAAATAAAAATAGAATGGTAATAATTAAGACCCCTAAAATTACCTTTAGAGTGAATGATCTGAACCCACCAATCAAAAGAAACAATATGTCATGATATGATTTTAAAATAAAACAGGATTCAGCTATATTAGGTGTGTACAAAACTTTTACCAGAAACTATTACCAAAAAAGGTATTGAGAGACAGAAGTAAAAATGTTCCAAATCCATAACTCATAAAAAAATGGCGGGAACTGTTAGGCTGTATATAGTGATATATATTTACTTAGTAGAATGCTACTCAACTATTTTTTTAAAAAGTGGACTCCTGCCCTTTTAAAAAACATGGATGGAGTTTGTGGTGATTATGCTAAGCAAAGTTAATGGGAAGTTAAAGACAATTATAGGATAGTTTCACACATTTTTGGAATAGAAATAACCAAAGAAATCAAGCTAAGAAAACATAACAAAATAGTACATATATTGGAAGACCTGCTATTTTCAAGGGAGAGGAGAGAGGCAGTGGAAGGAATGGCTTAGAGCAGGTGATTTTGACAGTGTGATGGAAATAGAACCTTGGTGATGAATACAATAAAACTTCTGCAAATTTAGAAATGTGAAACTATACCGCCTGAAGTCAGTATTATTAAGCAATAATAAGATTTAAATAGAATTTAAAAATAGAATTTAAAAGAATTTTAAAGGGAATAGAATTTAAAAAGGAAACTTTTATCCATGCTAGTAAAGTAAAAGTAAAGACCCTCCCGTTGATCGTCGATTTGCTCGAGCGGGCCCAGTAACGTCTCCATTGGAGACTTTGTTGTTACTGTATCTGGCATATCGAATACTCTTGGTAGCTTGCCAGGCTCTCTGAGAGGATAAAACATGCATAAACTTTTAAATTAATCAGTTACTCAAAAAAATACATGTAGCATGATTTTGTAAGGTATTGAGAGTATACAATTTAATAGAAACAAAAGATGGAATGATGGTTGCTGAGTGTTGTGAAGAGTGGGAAATTGGAATTGTCGTTGGTATTTAAAGTTTGAATTTACAAAGACAGAAATGGTTTTATAGATGGTTGATTGTAGAACAATGTGAATGTACTTAATACTAGTGAACACTTAAAATGGTTAATAATAAATTTTGTGTGTACACTTTACCACAAAAATGAAGTTAACTTTTAAGTAAAAATTTTTATAAAACAAAACCACTTTGTCAAAATCTTATGCAAATTGATAAAATTCTTACTTTTAATTTTGTACTCATTTCTTTGTTGACAGTGAGGAACATGATCACATGTTAAAAATGTATTGCATTGGAATTATATAGTGAATAATGAGATAAAAAGTATACTGAATTTAAGGTCATGGATTTTTTTATGTAATCTATACTAAGGGCAAGAAGGCTGAATACTGGACATAGATGTGATGGGGTGAATAATAGGTATGAAAAGAGAATGTGGAAGATTATTTTTCTTCTATTTTCTGATGTAAATTAGATGTAAATGATCTCTGAATTAGATAGAGTAGAAAGTTAGTAAAAGTGGGAGAATAGTATATGATCTGTGTTAAAAATGGAAACATGAATATGTGCTATATGAATGTAATTCTTGTTTTAAAAATGCTTTTCACTACATTTATTTAGGTCTTCCTTTTGTTAATAAGAGTTTAGTTATCAAAAGAAAGGAAATTTTTTTCTTTCTTATTCAATAGATATTAATTATTTTTAGTATTAAGTAGATACTCAGGAAATACAGATAAGTAGTATCAAATATAGTTACGCTTATGAATTTACAACACTGCTTTAAATCACATAATTTTGTATGATTGCATTATTCATTGCTATTATGATTACTATAATATTCTAATTAAATACACATAATTTATTCCTTTTCTTTATTCTCTTTTTAGCATTGCCACCATGGGATATGTGTAAACAAGGAAATGGAAACACGTCCTGTAGATGGTGAATGGGGACCGTGGGGACCTTACAGTTCTTGTTCAAGGACATGTGGAGGTGGAATCAAAAGCACAACCAGGCTCTGTAATCACCCCGAGTATGTCTTTTTTATGTCACTGTAAATTAAGATTATCTCAAGGCACCAGAAAATAGACATCAATTTCATTCACTTCTAAACTGGAGGTCAGTCTGTAAGTTTCTGAGATTCAGAAAACTTCTGGAATACTTTAAGCCATTATTACTTTTTGTTTTATTAGATTCAGACTTTAAAGAAACTAAACATCAATTCTAAAGATATTTAGAATCTGAATGAAGACGGAGTCATTGTCTTCATTGTTTTCTGATAGAGTATAAATTTGAGAAAAAAAAGTATATATAATGACACTCTTGTAATGGCATTTTATATTTGCTATTTTTCTATTGAAAGATTATGGCTTTCCAACAGTGGTTTAGCTCTCCAGACCAAATATGTTATTTCATTTTCAGATTTTCTACGTTATGTAATTTCACATGTAATTTTCCTATGCTTTACATGTTTTATATCTAGCAGTGTCACTGGCTCAAATAAATACTGGAGCACACCTATCCTCTTTCAAGCTAAAATAAATTTAAAATTTCATGATTTTATTCATTGTTATGGAATATGGTATTTTCACTTATTCTGTTAACAAGAATTTTTAATGCAGAAATGTGACATGCTTTTAATAAAATGTCTAAGTTAATTTGAAATTTCCAGGTTAAATTTTGTTAACATTTTTGCCATATTTTTTAACATGATAATAAAAAGTGTTATTATTTACCATACCATAGAGGTGAGGGAGTATTTGTTTATACTGGAAACTCTTCATTTGGATGACTAAGTAGGATACACATGATAACAATGAGCATATACATTTCTTTTTAAGTGCAACATAGTCTTATCTTCCTTTGTATTTTTGTTGGATTACTTTGTTTTACTTTTCCCAGTAACTTTTTTTGAATTTTAAAACACCTTTTTTGAATTTTAAAACAAATTTCTACGATTAGTTCCTTGTTAATATAGTCATGAATAAGATAGCATTTCTGACCTCCAACCCACAGTTTCTACTCTAAGTGGATACTTTTACTGTTTATTCGTCATAGAATGGTTTTAAACCCATTACATCTGTTACATCTGTTAAAACAAGCAAACAAAAAATGATGGTGGGATTTTAGAGGTTTTTCAGACCTTTGGTAAGTGATGAAATGGTTATAGAAGTAAATGGTAGAAAAATTTTGAACTGATATTCTTTAAAATATAATGAATTTGACCAGGCCAAGAAATGGCGGAAAGTACTGTGTGGGCCGCAGGATGAAATTTCGATCATGTAACACTGATTCATGTCCAAAAGGCAAGCAAGACTTCCGTGAGAAGCAGTGTTCTGATTTTGATGGTAAACATTTCAACATCAATGGCCTTTCCCCTAATGTGAGGTGGCTTCCAAAATACAGTGGGAGTAAGTAATCAATTTCTTTCTGTTAAATTTTTTTGAGACATGGGAACACACAGCTATTTATTGTATACAAAAAATTAACCTTTCAAATTTATTTATTTTTTAACAGTTTCTGTAAAAGATCGCTGTAAACTCTATTGTCGGGTTGCTGGAACCACTCATTTCTACCAGTTGAAGGATAAGGTTGCTGATGGTACTCCCTGTGGAACAGAAACCAATGACATCTGTGTTCAAGGCCTGTGTCGAGTAAGTAAATTTATGTTATGTAAAGTGACTTTCAGACTAATATTTTTCCTCTTTTTCTCTAATAAAACATCCTTTCTCTCTTGCCAAGTATCCTTTCTTCTACTTCAGAATATATTTTTGTGAATTCTAGAAGAGCAGTCTTTCATGGGTTCATGCCATTCATAGGATATTCTTAGGAAACTTGCTATCAGTCAAATTTCTGTCATCAGGAGTGACTCAAAACCATACATTTTCTGATTTTGTTTGCCTATAGTACTCAAAATCAAAGTGATTTAGATTCCCAAGAAGATGAAAAAATAGTTGGACACAAAATGGTGAAGTCTGTTTTTATACTTTAAATTTGAACTGCTATAGTGATTTTCTCCCTATGTTAGAAGTGTTAATCCACCATTCCTCTTACATCCCTTTTATTCCTTGAATGGATTAAATGGGTATTTACTGAGTATGTCCTATATATCACCTATTGTTTTAGTCATTAGTTGAAAACATAGAACTGAGATCTACTTCAAAGGTTCATAAATTTGTTAGAGGGTATTATGTAAGTTACTAGAATGCACTACTCTAGTTATCTGGATGGTGCAATGAGGATGATTGTGGAGGGCTGGTGGGCATATGGCTTGCACTAATCATTGAGGATGAGTTGGTTTTAGAAAAGGGGAGGAAGTAAGGGAATTAGTATTGGAGGTAGGTACTAGCTGCTGGTCATTATAAGCACTTGTTTTTATATTTATTATGAAGTTCCTGAGTTTAATCTTCTAAGAGAAGATTTAATGTAGAAGGATCATTTGGTAGGATGCTAATGAGAACCCTGAATTAAGAGACATGATTGGATGTGGCAGTTTAAAAATGCTCAGTGAGTTTGAGGACTAAGATGATGAAGGCTGTAGAAAATGAGAATTCCATATGTTGGGTGCATATGGCCAGCTACAGGTCCCTAGGATATTCCAAGAGAGCCAGAGGTGAAAATTGTGTAAACAGGGAGCCATGAGTCAACAGTTGGAGATAAACTAAGAACAGGGGCCCATAGAAGAAAGTCAAGTCAGAAGAGGGTCTTGGTAGGAAGGTGAGAATCACTGGCTTAAATAATGCAGATGTAGTCATGTGATATTATTCTTTTGGTCCAGGTAAAATTTACAGGACAGATTTCTTCTCTTTTAAACAAACTTCTGTTACTAAGTAACCTATGTGATAAAAGACCTTGGACAATAGGGATGAAATGTTCAAATGAGATGTTACATAATTAGATATTTTTAAAAATACACATTGGAGTTAAATGCTTAGAAAAAAGGATACTCAGTGGCCTGAAAACCATGATTTTTCCAAAGTAATAATACAAAGGCATATGCAATAAATACAAAGGTAGGTGGACTTCCAAGTAATATCCTGTTAAAATTCCATGTTGTAATTCATTTCCTTGTGTGTAATCACCTTTTTGTGGAGCTGTGTAAACTCCTTCACTCGGGGATTACATGTTAATGGATGTTCATGATCACTCTGGCGGCTCTTTTTCGTCCTGCTTCCCCACCCGGGACGACCATTGCCATGGGTGGATGCTCTAGCACTGTCCTCCCGTTGTTCATCGATTTTTTTCGAGCGAGCCCAGTAACGTCTCCTTTGTGAGACTTGTTAGTGTGTTTGGCATATCGAATACGTCACGGGGAGCTTGCCAGGCTTTGCCGTGCGGGCGAGATACTCTCGGTAGCTTGCCGGGCTCTCCGAGAGGGGCGGAGAAATCGAACCCAGCTTGCCTGGACTGGCTGCGTGCAAACGCCCTACCCGCTGTGCTATCGCTCCAGCCCACCATGGGTGGACGAAGGTGATCAATTGCCGTTTATTCTATCTCTCCTCTCTCCCAAACCCCCAACTCTCACAATTCTCCCCCAAACCTCTCCAACCCTCTCCCAGTTCTCTCCGACTCTCTCCGCAATGCTCTCTTCAACATGCTTTCTCTGAAGCATTCTCCACCTCTCTCCTCCCCTCACTCTGTCTCAACTCTCTACCTTTTTTTTTTCTGTCCACTTACTCTCTTCAGCCACTACTTTTTTTTTTCCCTTTATTTTATTTTATTTTTTTTAAAGTTGTAGATTTACAATTTTTTGTGCTTTGGTTTCAATTATACAATGATCAGATACCCATCCCTCCACCAGTGCCCATTTTCCACCACCATGGATAATATCCCTCCCACCCCCATCCCCCCATCCCCCCTGTCTCTGTGGCAGGGCAATCCCCTGTGTTCTCTCTCTCCTTTTGGGTGTTGTGGTCTGCAAAAGAGGCATTGAGTGGCAAACATGTTCAGTCCATAGTCTACTTTCGACATGCATCTCCCCTCCTGGGAGGATCCTCCAAACATCCTTTATTTGGTGCTCCCTTCTCTATCTGAACAGCCCTTTCCTCTAGGATACCCGGCTGGCCTCTAAGTTATGGAGTAATCCTCCTGGTGCTGATCTCAGCTCTTCTTGGGTATTAATCTCATACTTTGTTACTTTATATCCCCCAGATGAATGCAATCTTTCTATGTCTATCCCTCTCTTTCTGACTCATTTCGCTTAGCATGATACTTTCCATATTGTACCACTTGTATGTAAATTTCATGACTTCATCTTTTCTAACAGCTACATAGTACTCCATTGTGTAGATGTACCAAAGTTTCTTTAACCAGTCATCTGTTCTTGGGCATTCAGGTTTCTTCCAGTTTCTGGCTATTGTAAAGAGTGCTGCAATGAACAAACAAGTGCAGATGTCACTTCGACTATACATTTTTGCCTCTCTGGGATATATTCCCAGGAGTGGTATTGCTGGGTCAAATGGGAGCTCAATTTCTAATTTTTTGAGAATCGTCCATACTGTTTTCCAGAAGGGCTGAACCAGTGGACATTCCCACCAACAGTGAAGGAGTGTCCCTTTCTCGCCACATCCACGCCAGCATCGGTTGCTTTTGTTCTTTTGAATGTGGGCCAGTCTCTGAGGTGTGAGATGGTATCTCATTGTGGTTTTGATCTGCATCTCCCTGATGATTAATGATGTAGAGCATTTTCTCATGTGCTTTTTTGCCATTCGGATTTCTTCTTTGAGAAAGTTTCTGTTCATTTCATTGCCCCATTTTTGGATGGGGTTGGATGTTTTCTTCTTGTGGAGTTTAACCAGTATTTTGTATATCCTGGATATCAACCCCTTGTCAGATGTGTATTCGGCGAATATCCTTTCCCATTCTGTAGACTGTCTTTGTATTTTGGTCACTGTTTCTTTGGAGGTGCAGCAGCTTCTTAGTTTAAGATAGTCCCATTTATCTATCTCTGTTTTCACTTGCTCGGCCAGTGGCGTGGCATCTTTGAAGATACCATTAGCTTCAATGTCATGGAGGGTTTTGCCAACTTTGTCTTCAATGTACCTTATGGTTTCTGGTCTGATGTTGAGGTCTTTAATCCATTTTGATCTTACTTTTGTACATGGTGTTAGGCAGAGTTCTGAGCCTATTTTTTTGCATGTAGCCGTCCAGTGATGCCAACACAATTTATTAAAGAGGCTTTCCTTACTCCACTTCACATTACTTGCACCTTTATCAAAGATTAGATGAGCATATGATTGAGGAGAGATGTCAGTGTATTCAACCCTGTTCCATTGGTCTGCAGTTCTGCCTTTGTTCCAGTACCATGCTGTTTTAATTATTACTGCTTTGTAGTAGAGCTTGAAGTTCGGGAGGTTGATTCCTCCCATTTTCTTTTTCCCAAGAATTGCTTTAGCTATTCGTGGGGGCTTATTGTTCCATATAAATTTCAAGAGTGTTTGCTCCATTTCTTTGAAGAATGTCATGGGTATCCTTATAGGGATTGCATTGAATTTATACAATGCTTTCGGTAGTATTGCCATTTTGACAATGTTAAGTCTCCCGACCCATGAGCAGGGGATATCTTTCCATTTCCTCATGTCCTCTTTTATTTCCTGAAGTAGCGTTTTGTAGTTTTCTTTGTACAGGTCCTTTACTTCCTTAGTTAAGCTGATTCCTAGGTACTTGATTTTCTGGGGCACAATTGTGAATGGGATTGTTTTTTTCATGTTGCTTTCTTCTCTCTCACTGTTTGCGTATAGGAAAGCCATGGACTTTTGGGTATGGATTTTATAACCTGCAACTTTACTATACGAGTCTATTGTTTCTAGGAGTTTTTTGGTGGAAGTTATTGGGTTCTCTAAGTAGAGTATCATATCATCTGCGAATAGTGAGAGCTTGATTTCTTCCTTTCCTACCTGAATGCCCTTAATATCTTTTTCCTGCCTAATCGCTATTGCAAGTACTTCCAGTACTATATTGAACAGCAGTGGAGAGAGTGGGCATCCCTGTCTCGTCCCTGATCTTAGAGGGAAGGCTCTCAGTTTTTCCCCATTGAGGATGATGCTTGCTGTAGGCTTGTGGTAGATGGCTTTAATTATGTTGAGGAAGGTCCCCTCTATACCCATTTTGGCTAGGGTTTTCATCATAAAGGGGTGCTGGATCTTATCAAATGCTTTCTCTGCATCTATTGATATGATCATATGCTTTTTATCTTTTCTTTTGTTGATATGGTGGATTATGTTGATTGATTCCCGAATGTTAAACCATCCTTGCATCCCTGGGATGAATCCTACTTGGTCATGGTGTATGATCTTTTTAATGAGTAGTTGGATTCTATTTGCTAGTAGTTTGTTGAGGATCTTTGCATCTGTGTTCATCAGGGATATCGGCCTGTAATTCTCTTTCTTTGTGGTATCTCTGTCTGCTTTTGGTATCAGTGTGATATTTGCTTCATAGAAACTGTTTGGAAGTGTTTTTGATATTTCAATTTCGTGGAAAAGCTTAAAGAGCATTGGGAGTAAGTCCTCTTTAAAGATTTGGAAGAATTCACTAGTGAATCCATCCGGGCCAGGACTTTTGTGCTTGGGGAGACTTTTTATTACCATTTCAATTTCCTTGATGGTGATAGGTCTGTTCAGGTATTCCAGGTCTTCTTGGTTCAGCCTTGGGAGTCTGTAGGAGTCTAGGAATTTATCCATTTCCTCGAGGTTTTGATGTTCCGTTCAGCCACTACTTTTACCACCTCTTCTCTAACCACATCTCTCAAACCACACCTCCCCAATCAACATGTTTTTCAAGCCTTCCTGACCACCGGCAGCTCAGTGATGAGAGCAAAAAACATCACTTAAGGTGTGTTTCTCCTCTTCTTAGACCAGTAACTTAATTTGCTCGAGCGGGCCCAGTAATGTCTCCTTTGTGAGACTTCTTGTTACTGTGTTTGGCATATTGAATACATCATGGGGAGCTTGCTAGGCTTTGCTGTGTGGGTGAGATACTCTTGGTAGCTTGCCGGGCTCTCCAAGAGGGGCAGAGGAATTGAACCTGGCTTGGCCAGGCTGGCTGCGCTCAAGGCAAACGCCCTACCGCTGTGCTATCGCTCCAGCCCAGTAACTTAATTAACATCTTAATTTGACTTCCTAATATTTGCCATTCTATACGGACACAGTAATAGACACATTTAGTCTTGTAGGGAGACTCTCCTGGAGACATCTCGCCACAGACTCAGACTACAGTGCTCAGGCCAGATTAATTATTCCTAACCCTAGCAGGGTCCAAATCTAGTTATTACTTTTTGGATCATGACAGAATTTGTCCTTGACCATGCTCTGATAGTTAAGCATCAGGGCACTTTGGTCAGGCCCATTTCAATGCCAGGTAAGCTTGCTGCTTGCGCTGGGTCCATCCAGTCCATCTTCAGGACCCTGCTTTTGGGGATCTAGGAAGTAAGGGCAATTGAGGCTTAAATCGAGAGAGCAGATTTCAGGAGGTAATATTATCAGGAGTCAGTTAATCCGAAGTTACAGGCTTGTGTTTTTAACTGTCTTCCTGTATCCATACAAAAAGTAATTGCTCTAAAGTAACTATGCAGAGGATATTAAGGAGAAGAGAAAAACAATATTTATAAGTCAGAGTCTTATCTGGAGGCAAAGGTAATTGACAGGTTGGGGGAGCAATCAACAAACCCAAGCTCTCTGTGGCCAGGGAGGAAGGGCAAACCAATGTTATCCTACATCTTTGTATATAAAATACTTTATTGTGAACAAAATTACATTTTTAAACATTTGTGATCATTCAGTTTAGGGGGGACTGGAGTGATAGCACAGTGGGCAGGGCGTTTGCCTTGCACGCAGCCAACATGGCCGACCCGAGTACAATTCCTCTGCCCCTCTCGGCAAGCTACCGAGAGTATCTTGCCTGCACGGCAAATCCTGGCAAGCTCCCCGTGATATATTCGATATGCCAACCAAACACAGTAGCAACAAGTCTCACAATTTGTTGTGAGATGTTACTGGTGCCCACTCGAGCAAATCAATGAACAATGGGAGGACAGTGCAGTGCAGTGCAGTTTAGGGGAATATTTCATCAAACCAAACTATTTGTTTTAGTGTATAGCAAAAACAGCCATTGACATGGAGAAGAGCTGCATTACTTTTTAAAACTCCATGAACAAACCATTTATTTTCACCTTTATTCATCTTTTCATTTTGTAAATACTGTTTATTATGCTGGATATTACTTTTGGAGGGATTCTTCTTCCCTTCCTCCTTCCTATTTCAATATTTTATTGCCTATTTCCAGGTCTGTAGATCATTAATACAATTGGTCCCATGTAAGACACTATACAATGCAAACATAAGGTTGCTCTTTTTATATTTTTTCCATTTTTTATAATTTTATTTATTGAATCACCGTGAGAGCAGTTACAAAGCTTTTGGGTCTAAGTCTCAGTCATACAATGAAACACCTGTACCTTCACCAGTGCCCATTCTCCACCACCAAAAATCCCAGTATACCCCCATCCCACACCCTCCCCCTGCCTGTGGGGCAGATGATTTCCACATTATTCTCTCTCTACTTTGATCACATTCACTATTTCGACACCAGACCCACCATTATTTGAGATTTTACCCCAACACTCAGATCTGCTGAAAAGGCAACAATAGGCAATTTGTGTTCTATTGCTGGTTATGAATAGCATATGATGTTGTGTGGCTGCAGTAGGGCCATGTGGTTTTGAAATTCTGAAATTTTAACACTTAAATCTGGAGGGATTTCTGCCAAAAGCCACTGAGTTTAGAGATCTGCTCCTGAGTCTCTGGGATCATGGCCGTTGAGCAGCTTGATGAGGAGCCAGAGAGGCCATTCGTGGGCGATGACTTGGGGTCTCGTTGGGGTGGGGAAGACAGGCCCGGCTCCACCCCCATCCCATGAGGCCCTGTGTGTCTCGTCACTGGGGGCCCAAATGTGACTATCCAGTGGCCTCAGACAGATGGCGGCCACTGGGCCGCCAGGGGGGACAGGCCAAGGTATGAAACCTATTCCCACCTGGTTTGGCCCAGCACCGATAGACTACTGCAGAGACCAGACGCATTTCTACCTAAAACCACTGGGTTCTGAGATTCGTTTCTGAGTCTCTGGGATCATGTCCATTAAGCAGTTCAATCCGGAACCAAAGAGGCCTTGCCTCCAATTATATAGCTGAGCCAGAGGTGGTTTGTGGGTGTGTTTCCCACATACCTAACTTTTGGCCGTTTACTTTCTTGGTAAACTTTTCCCCAAGTTTTTGGGGTCTGGCCAAAGGCACAGGAGCAATTTTGGGGTGTCTGGAAGTCTGAAGGCGCCATGAGGCTGCTGATGCACTCGCCTCACAGGTACAGATTGACCTGCTGGTGGCACCATACCCCCAGGTTGCTCTTTTTAAAGTGCAAATAAGCATAATATAAAGTTCTTCATTGTATACAATTTGGGGAGTGGTTTGGGCCACACCAGGTGATACTAAGGGTCCTGGCTCTGCACCCAAGGAATCAAATATGTGATGCCAGGGATCAAGTCCAGATTGGCCGCATGTGAAGGCAATGCCCTACCTGCTGTACTGCGGAGACATCATTTCTTTTAAATGTATTCATTTTATCCTCGGAGTTCTAAGGTCATCAACGACAAAATAATTATAAAAAAACCTGAAAATATTTTATGCTTGTTTATTTTGTTTCTTTGAGTCACTTTTTTTTGTAGAATGGCTGTCACTCTAGATACAAAAATTATACAAAAAAGATACAAAAATTATTATAATTATTATAATTATTATATTTATATTATATTTATATTATTTTATTTATATTATTATATTATATTTATTATATTTATATTATATTTATATTCATTATATTTATATTTATATTATTATAATTATTATAATTTCTCATTAAAATGTAGATTTCTAGATTTTCATTTAAGGACTTTAAATAGAAAATTTGATAATGTATGTTTATAAATGCACTCCCCTTTGATTTTGAGGTATGTTGTTGACTCTAAAACACTGTTTTCTCTTCTGTGATTGTGTGTGAATATATATGTATATAAAAGTTCAGTAGAAAATTTTGGAAAATTTTTGTTGCATTTATTCTTCTCTTAATAAGATATACTTATGAAATGAACTTGGTAAAGTACCATACTTATCATTTATTAGTTGTACATATAATTTATGAGTTTTTGTTAGTTTATATTAATTAGAATTATTATATTTTGAAGCAAGCTGGCTGTGATCATGTATTAAACTCCAAAGCCAGGAGAGATAAATGTGGAGTGTGTGGTGGGGATAACTCGTCATGCAGGACAATGTCAGGTGTCTTCAACAGTGCTCATTATGGTAAGTTGTGTATATGTTTTCTCTTTTACACAATGGAGTATAAAATGAAAGTATAACAGTATTGCTTTGTCTACTTGGTACCACCTATCTAAAAAATTGTTAAAAATTTTTATGTATAAAAATAAAATGATATGCTTCATGCATACTAAATTTGATATTCTCATGGGAAATCTGATTCTTAAAAATATATTTAGTAGATTTATCAGTAAATTGGGTGCTGTTTGATAATAATACAGGAATAACCCCTCCCCACCCCCAAGTAATATACTGTTTTGATTATTCCTATGATCTGAAATGTATATGCTTATAATCTTTCAGGAAACTTGCTTTTAGAGTTTTTCATCTTTTGCATACTCTGCCCTTTATTTGGCATTAACTGATATGTTTTATGTTTGTTATTGATGTCATGTTGAAGGTGATTTAAGGTGTAGGATGAAATCATTAATTTAAATACTGATTTTAAATTATCATTACCTTATGGTTTTTTCCAGGAAATCTCTGAATTACAGACATAATATTTTGATTACATTTTTTAAAAATTGTCATGGCAAATAATAATGTAAAATTGTATTTTTCATTCTAAAAATTTCAAGGAAGAGCCAGAGATAGTATAGTCAGTAAGGTACTTTCCTTGAACAACATCATCCTGGCTAAATCACTCTTAATGCTACCAGGAGCTATTCCTGAGCACAGAGCCAAGAGTTAGCCCTGAGCACCACAGGCCATACATCCACCCAAAACCAAAACAGAACAAAACAAAAAACACACAAAAAATATTTTAAGGGGAGGCAATTTTTCCTTCTATGACAATAAAAGCTATGATTAAAATTTTTCCTCTCAAAATTAAGTTCTTTTTACAGCTTTTTTTTCTTCTTCTTTTGGCTTTTTTGGATCACACCCAGCAATGCTCAGGGTTACTCCTGGCTCTGCATTCAGGAATTACTCCTGGCGGTGCTTGGGGGATGCCGGGGATTAAAACTCACGTTGGCCGCATGCAAGGCAAATACCCTGCCCACTATACTATCACTCCGGCCCCACCATATTATTTAGTTTTAAATTGTGTTCACATGTTTTCAGTTTGTTAGTATGAAGTTCTTTAATGAAATAAATATAAAACAAAATTATATTTTATTTATATAAAAATTATAGTACATTTAATGTTTTGGATGTTTATGTATCTTAGTTCTAAATTATCACACATTATCAGAACTTCTCCCTGGAAAAATATGTTAATTTGTCACATTTCTGCCCCCTAGTGGTCGTTCCCAACTCGCCATCTTTGCAATATTTAGTAATTGTTCTCTTAAAGAATTTAATAGCTAATATATAAATAGTGAAAGTTGTGGGAAAATTTTATAGTGAAAATCATAGCTAAATTTATTCTCAATATCTGATAATGAAAAAAGTGTATGAATAAAGTGTATATGGATTTGTTAACCACTCACTGTCATGTATTTAAAATATACAGGTTTAAATTATATAATTAGGCTATTCTGAAACCATTCCAAGTCACCCATCTCACGTTGTGAAATGAGTCAGAAGCAGAGGGACAGTTATAGAATGATTGCATTCATTTGTGAGTTATGTATGGGACTAATAGCCAAGGTGAGGGTAGCCAGGGATCAGGAGGACAGGTCAGTAGCTGGAAACTTGCCACAACAGTGTGTGGGGAGTGAAGAGCACAGGTAAAGGGATATACCTGATAACCTTTCATTATCTGTGTTGCAAACCATAAGGCCCAAAAGAATAGAGAGAGAGAGAGAGAGAGAGAGAGACAGAGAGAGAGACAGAGCTAGAGAGAGAGCGCGCACACGCTATCTTAGATACCTGCATGAGTGCTTTAGTTGGGAAAAAAACACTCTTTCTTATATAATTTTTGCTAAAATATCTCCTCATACCTTGACCAGTCCAGTGCTGCTGAATTTAATCTCACAAGTTTTCAAGGAAACTTTTATGATATAAATATAATATAAAGTTAATCACATGTTGTTAGTGTGTTATGTCAATTGGATTGGCATCTTAGACCTCCATCCAGCAAGAGCTTATAACAGGATGAGACAAACAAACATATAAGGAGACAAACATACATGAAATTTCCAAGATTTATGGTCACCTGGGCAGCCATCAGTGGTCTCACAGGCAGCCTATTTATTTATTTGTGAGATATAAAATATATTTATTTTCTGTTTTATTTAATTTTTTATTGAATCACGATTCAATATACAGTTACAAAGTTGTTCATGATTGAATTTCAGTCATACAGTGTCTCAACACTTGTCTCTTCACCAGTGTGCATTTCATCAGTGTGTGTGTGTGTGTGTGTGTGTGTGTGTGTGGCAGGGGGGAGTCCTCCTGTCACTCCTAGCAGCCTGCCTCTATGATAGGCACTTTTCTCTCTCTCTCTCTCCACCCCCCCCCTCTGTGTCTCTCTCTGTTTGTCTCTTTCTCTGTCTCTCTGTCTCTGTCTCTGTCTCTCTCTTTGGGCATTAATGGTTTTCAGTACAGGTACTATAAAGTTATCATGTTTTTTCTCTTACCTACTTTCAGCACTCAGTTGAAATTTGTCCAGAGTGTTCATTGCCAACTATCATTACATAGTGTTCCTTCTCTATCTTTACTGCTCTTCCCACAGACACTTGAGGCCGACTTCCAACTGTGGACCAGTCCTCCTGGGCCTTGTTTCTACTGTACTTGGGTATTAGTCTCCTACTGTGATTATTTTTATATCCCACACATGAGTGCAGCCATTCTATATCTGTTCCTTTCCTTCTGACTCATTTCATTCAGCATGATACTCTCCATGGTCATCCATTTATTGCATGACTTCATTTTTCCTGGTGCTGTCCATTCATTTAATACAATATTGCTCCCCCCATCCCCACCAGGATCCCTAGTTGTAAGCCCTTATAAAGTCGACAGAGACCTTATGGGCAGCTAGTAAACATTCAACATTCAGTACATACGTGGAAAGCAGAGGCTGGGTTATTTCACTTAGCTTTCAGATGACAGCTAAAGTATAATGTTGTGACAGTTTTCTCTTAAATTTTTGCCCATTGCGACCCTTAATCCAAAAGACTCTAAATAGTCTTAGTCTATACTTTCCAGCATATATTTTAATCTATTTTATTCTTTATTGCTATTCTGTACTTTTCCTGGATTTGCAAATCCTTTATATTCTAAGACCCAAACTATTTTACCTAAGGGAACATCCCAACCTTGTTTTTTGTTTGTTTGTTTGTTTGTTTGTTTGCTATAGGTATAGTTCCCCACATGTTAGTAAAGTTTTAAAAATAATGAAAGAAGTAGCAGAAAGATAGTACAGGGGTTAAAGTGGTGCCTTGCATGCAACCATTCCCAGTTCTATCTCTAGCAACAATACGGTCCCCTGAGCACAGAACCAGTACTAAGCCCTAAGTGCTGCTGGATGCCACCTCCAAAAAAGATTAAAAAAAACATAAACAAAAATTGAAGGGAATTCAATAGGATTCCAAAATGGATTCCTGAACTTAAACACTGAAGAAAATTTTCTGACACAGTGTAGTCAACACTATAGTAATTAGTAGAGGGAAAGAGGAAGAATTGGGTGTGGGATCTTTTTGATGGCACTGAAACTGAAGTGTTGTGTGTAGTGAGTCATACACACAAAAGTGTGAGGCTAACTCCTGGAATTCTATAATATTATAAACCAATGATAATAAAAATCAGAAGTCTTCAATAATCAGTTCATGTACAGTGGAGGTCCACGACTGTAGAAAAATTGAAACCCCCACTAGGGCTCATGAATGAAAACCAGTGGGTCATTGAAAAATCAGAGAGGAAATAAAAAGATTCCTGGAAACAAACAAGAATGAGGACATGACATCACAACTGATGGGACATACCAAAAGTGGTGTTAAGGGGAAAGTTTGTAGCTATGCAAGTATTCTTCAGAAGAGAGCATCCACAAACATAACTTGATTGAACAGCTTAAGAAGCTGGAAAATGACCAAAAATAGAAGCTGAAGTGGTAGGAGGAAAGAACTAATGAAACGTAGAGCAGAAATTAATGAATTAGAATTTAATTAAAAACAATTTAAAGATTAATGAAACCAAAAACAACAACCAGAATATATGCATGGAGAAAGGGACCTTCTTTCACTGCTGGTGGGAATGTTGACTGGTCCAGCCTCTTACAGGAGACAATAAGGTCATTTCTCACAAAACTTAGCAGAGTGCTTCCATAGTAGCTGGCAGTTTCACTCTAGGGAATATACCCCAAATGTCAAAAAACAATGTAGAAAAGACATCTGCGCTCCTGTGTTCATTACAGACTTCACACTAGCCCAAATCTGTAAACAACCCAAATGCCGAACAAATGACTGGATGAAAAAACTATGGTTCATATACACAAAAGAATATTACTTGGACATAATAAAGGATGAATTTATGCGATTTGCTGATACATAGATCTGGAGAGTATATTGCTAAGTGAAATGAGTCAGAGGGAGAGGGGCAGACACAGAATGATCTCACTCATAGATTATAAAGAAACATAGTGGGGGGATAACTAAAGCCTAAGGTAGTAAAAACGAAGAGCAGGAAAACTGGTACTGAGTTGGAAGTTTACAAGTGGAGTTGGGGCCAGAGGTGAAATGGAACCACCATGACATTGGTAGAGGGAAGTGATCACTCTGGACCAGGACTCAGTGCTGAAATAAGCTAACTGACATGAACGACACCGTGTCAGTCACACTATTGTTAACCACAGTGCCTAAAAGAGGAAAAATAAGTAAAAAAGAAAAAAAGGTTCTTGCCATTGGTTGAGGGGTTGGACAGAAAGCAGGAATATAGGTATTGGGAAGTGGATATTGTGAAGGGTTGGAGCATTGTACACCTGAAATCATGATTCATAAAATTCATGGTAATTTTTTGAATTATGGAATACCTTTAAAAATTCTAAATTGCATTTCTGAGCAGCTGTTAACTTTTTAATCTTTAGTTTAATCCTTAGTCAAGGCATTATTCAAAAAGGGCACTCTCCCTCTTTTTTTTCTTTTTCGGGGGCGTAGGGTAGATAATTGCGGCCACACCTGGATGTGCTCAGGGCTTATTCCTGGTTCTGTGCTCAGACACTGCTCCTAGTGGGGCTTGGGGGGCCATATTTGATGTCAGGGATTGAATCCACATTGCAGTGGGCGAGGCTAGAGCTCTACGGTGTACTAGTTTTTCAAAAATACATAATGTAATTAAGTATGCCCATGCTAATTAAACTTTGAGTCATTCAGCAGGATAGCCTCTAAACCATCTTTCTGCTTTTTATGAAATATGACATGTATACAATTTTATTGCAGGTTATAACATCATTGTAAAGATTCCCACAGGAGCAACAAATATTGATATTCTTCAGCACAGCTATTCTGGAAAACCAGAAGATGACAATTATCTTGGTAAACACTTACAGTAAATAGCAACCTATATATGCTTTATGTGTAATTTCATGGGGTTCTGCAATTGATGGTAATTCTTGAATGGCAGAAATAGCCCTTGAACAAACATGCAGTTTATTTTCATTTTGAGTTTTTGCATACATTTTAGAATATATTTTTAGAATATATGGAATTTCTTTTTATTTTATATTCCTCTTCATAGTTAAATATTTTATATATTTTTAAAATGATTTACAGTGTAGCAGAAGTAAGAATAGATTTTAAAAAGCTCTTATTATGCATGGTAATGTTTAATATTTTTAGCTCTGAATTAAGGGCTGGAGCCATAACACAGCAAGTAGGGCATTTGTCTTGCATGCTGCTAACCTGAGGTCAATTCCTCCATCCTACTCAGAGAGCCCGGCAAGCTACCAAGAGTGTCCCGCCCACATGGCCATGCCTGGCAAGCTCCCCGTGGTGTATTTGATATGCCAAAAATAGTAACAAGTCTCACAATGGAGATATTACTGGTGCCCACTCGAGCAAATCGATGAACAATGGGAGGACAGTGCTACAGTGCTACAGATATTAATTAAAAATAAGTTTGTAATAGAAAAAACAGTTTAACTCAGTTAATTGTCTTTGAACTGTGTCTAGATTATAGACCATGTGTATTATTTATTTTTAGAAATAGCTTTTGAGTTTAAAGAATTTCACTAGGTCTAAAAAAATGTTTTGCAAACCTTTTCCTTCTATATTAGAAATATCTTACTATTTGCTTAATCTGTTGTTTACTAAGTTGAAGTAAGGAATAGTGTAGAACTGATACTGAGAAAGTACCTGGCATACATTTATAAAATGTAAAATATGTTCAGGGAATCAATCTTATGATTGGAATCAGATATATATATGTAATATATATATGACAGGTATCACAAATTTTATTTGGCATTACAAAGTCGTGTAAAGAAAACATCTACTTCATAGACATAGAATTTACTTGCAGAATGATCAAAAAGTTTTAGTGCTAGATAGAGATGGTTATGAAATCTCACAACTTTATGAATATAATGAATGTCATTGAATTGTTTATAATGATTAATTTTTGTTATAAAATTTTTTTTAAAAAAAATATTTATTTTTGGCTTTTTGGGTCACACCTGCATAGAATTTACTCCTGGCTCTGCCCTCAGGAATACTCCTGGCGGTGCTCTGGGTATCCTATGGGATGCTGAGGATCGAATCTGGGTCAGCTGCCTGTATACAAGGCAAACACCCTATCTGCTGTACTATTGCTCTAGCCCCAACAATTTTATTTTTACAAAATAAAATTATAGCAAAATAATAATTTGCATTTATATTCATTAATTTCAAAAAGGAATTTAATTTTAAAAGTTAAGTATTTTTTGTATTTTTGGCTGATTTTACTGTTCCATGCATACTATTCTTTTTTAGCTTTATCTGACACTCAAGGGAATTTTCTTTTGAATGGAAATTTTGTTGTAAGTATGTCAAAAAAAGAAATCAACATACAAGGAGCTATTTTTGAATACAGTGGTTCGAACAACTCAATTGAAAGAATTAATAGTACTGATAGACTGGAAGATGAAATTGTTTTGCAGGTAAATTCTGTCATCATTATTACTGCTTTAATCATTTTCAGTTGAGATGATTAAGTTCTTTGTCTTTCATAAAATGTAAAAGTGCACTGACCTTGGTGGAGATCTTGGTTTAGTACATAAGGATCTCAAGGTATATAAAGCTAAATGAATGTTCATAAATTCCATACAGTATTTTCTTCAGTCAGTAAAGGAGAAAGAAACAAAGTGCATGGCATAGGGTCTATGAAAGTTATGCTCCACACAGCGTCCATAAATATTAACTGATCTATTCCCAAAATACCCTCTATTGGGAATAGAGGAAGTACCCTCTATTTCCATAATAAATGATGTCTTTTATAATGTTTAGTGGTGGACTTAGTATTGTGTATATGTTGTTCATTTAAAATTATGTACATTGAGGTGTTGGGAGATAATACAATAATGTTCCCTACCACAGTTTGATCCCTAGTGTCACATGGCATCCTCAGCAATACCAAGTTCAACCCTGGAAGCAGGTCCTTGAGCACTATATGGGTGGCCACAAGTCAGGGCACACCCATTGTCAGACTGCAGCATTGAATCACCAGCCCAGCAGACAGAGTATTGTTAGGAGTTTCCACTGTGCCTACTGAGCACCAGTTGGGAGCATCCATTTTGCCTTACAAAACCAATAAGAAAACAAATAATAAAATCATGTATACTTAAACCTAATATTATAAACCAACGTCACTTGAATAAAAATCTATTGTGTGGGAGGAAGTGTAGTGATGCTGCAGTGGGTTTTGTGTTCACCTGGAATGTAGCCCATCTGGGTTTGACCTCTGACCTGAACACAGAGCCAGGTCTCAGCTCTGAACATGTTCATTTGTGACCCCTAAAACAACAACAATGACAAAAGCTACATTTTGTGAGTTAATTGTATGTACGTTTGTATTTTTGAGGTTTTGTGTGTGGGTAATTTATACAACCCTGATGTGCATTATTCCTTCAATATTCCTATGGAAGAACAAAGTGACCTGTTTATGTGGGATCCATATGGACCATGGCAAGACTGTACCAAAATGTGTCAAGGTACATGGGTATTAAATGAAGGACATACAAATTTATGCATGTTGATATTATTTGTGGGTACTTTTGAGTCTGGCAGTGGAATAGTTCCTACTATCTCTCAAAAATACCATATAGATATACTATGTTCTATGTATTCCCTTCCTCTTTTCTTCCATTACTCATTCTTTCTGTTTCCTATAGTTAACATCTTCTTCTCTGCCCTTTCAGCAGTCTCCCTCATGGTTCCTCTCCTTTTAAATTCTCATTCTCTAACCTTTCCCAGAAGCCTATATTCTTTTAGCATTAGAGTATCAAACACATCAAACATTGTGTTATTTCCCATCTCTGACATCAGTAGGTTTTCTACTGATAATATGAATAGCTGAAGGGAGAGTAGTGGGAAATTGAAAAGTATGGAAACTTAGAGTATGAAAAGAAAGTGAAAAGACTAGATCTTCAGTCTGTAACTATAGATACTTAGTTATATCATGCTCTGTTCAAATCAGTAACCATTTATTGAAAGTCTGCTTTGTTAGAGATTAAGACTGATTCTGCATTTAAAGTTTAGTCTCCTGGGTGAAACAGGCTGAGTATTTGTAATTGTAATGCCACAGATATGGAAACAAAAGGACCAAAGAATAATCAAGGAGGATAATCAGACAATAATCAGTGAGGATATTAAGTATGAAAATATAAAGGGGTTTTCTACAATGAAAATGTTTCATTAGGATTAGAGGAAAATATTGGGAATTTGAGGGTAGCGGATCAGAGGGCAGGATGCTCAGAATAGTACAGAGTTAAGTGGAGAGAAGGGGGTGGCTAGAAGCAGTGACCAGAGGTAATTGGCAGGTGGGGGATAATCCAAGGAAGCCAAGCAGTTGTTTCATTCCATACATAAAAAGCATCATGTTTGATATGTGATGTTGAAATGGTGATTAAGGCAGTTATTTCTGTTATATTTTAGCAGTGCCTTAGGAAAGGGAGATAACAAAGGATGATCCAAGGTCTACTGTATAAACTATGCCAGTAAGACAAAGAACTGCAGTAACGAAGGTAGAATTCAGCTCGAAAGAAGTTGTGTTTAATGGGAAAAAAGTGGAAGTTTGAAACTTCAGACCAACATTTTAGCATTAAATGGTCTATGACAATAGATCTGGGGATTTAGGAATAAACCCAAGCACCAGGTGAATGGACCAACATTCTAAAATGTGGGAAATGCATCAAGCAAAGCGTAATAAATTAGATCCAAAAGAAAGGACTGGTGGACAAGACTTGAGGAGTGATTTGGAGACAGATATCTTTATTAGTTGTGTATAGAGGAAAATAATCTATGAATTCTATTGCCATATCGTATTCATCTAAAATTAAGCATATAAAGATTTTATGTTTACTTATTTTTCTATGTACTCATATTTGTAATTGCCAGGACTCTTGTGCAAATTAATTTTTGTTCTAGTGATCTATTAAGCACATTATTTTATGTTTCAAGGGTTTGTTTGTTTTTCACTTTCATTATGTATCAATACCATTATCTTCTTTTCTCTTTTCTGACCGTATGTGCCTTTTAGACTTGCTGTTGAATATCATCTTGAAATTTTTCTTCAGTATAGTCCTGGGAATTGTTTTCAGCAATTTTAAGGTTCTAAGTTCCATGATATTCTCTTTATTTCCCTTGTTGGCTGGAACATATTCCCTCAATATTGTCTTGAAAAATGCAGGGGACATTAGAATATGAAAAATCATATTACTCTTTTTTGCAGTTGATCAGTAGCCTGGTTAATAAAAACCTCCACACTAGATGATTTTCCATTAGAGTTTTGAAAGCCTTGTTCCTATCTTCTTTAGGATTCCTTCTTGGATGTTTCTTTCACCTATTTTCCTATGTAATCAGGATATTTTTAAAATGAAATTTGGAAACACAGATTCTTGGATTTAAGAAAAGTTATTGGATTTAATTCTTGAATATTTTCTGGACATGAAAGTTCCTCCATCTTTTTAAAATTTGCATTTCGATGTGTGACTTCCTAGACTGAACACATATTTTCTAATTTCTTTTTACTTTGCTTTATCTTCCTATAACATTTTTACTTTTCATGAATTCATATCTTTTATACTTGATAGTATGTATTAGTCATAATCTTTAAGATTTGTTCTGCTCTCAGATTTATATATGTTTAATCTTGGTTCTGTTTTGTTCTCATTTACATTGGTATTTTTTGTATGTAGTTTCCTAATATTTCTGATTAGTTTTGCTGTTTGTTAATATTTTTTAAAATATTATCGTGTTAATTAAAATCACATGTAGATCAGATGAAGTAGGGCCTTAATTTTTTCATAACTAGATCACTAAGTATTCATACGTCATTGGGTATTTATGACAGATAGAGTGCTAAAGGAAACCTAAAGGAAAATTGTTCATTACTAGGCCTGGATCTCATCAGTCAATATGAAGACTTTCACTTAACCACTTAGTTTTCAATACATTGTTTTTCTAGCTGTGTCTGTGACTTCAAATTTACCTCTAGAGCTATGCTATCCAGTATTGTAGCTGTTGGCCACGTGTGGCTAGTCCATTGAAGTGCACTATAGTATGAAATACACAGTGGATTTCTAAGACAATATTTTTTTAAAAATGTAAAATACATCATCAATTCTTACGTGATGTGATGTTAAAAGTCACATCTTGAATTATAGGTTAATGTAATATTTTTTCCTGTGTCATTTTTCTTTTTTGTGTGCCTGGAAAATGTAAAAAATATGACTTACATTCTGTTTTTGAGACAGTATTGCTCTCCATTAGGATAGGAGTCCAGTTGTTCTTCACAACTTCTTTTCAATCAATTCTCCATTTTTCAGGCTTACCCCTGACACTTTCACTTCTTCAGAGGAACCTGATGTTTTTGATTCCTGAACTTTTCTTGGATTCTGTGACATGAATGGTTTGTTTCTAATTCACTTTTTTTTAAAATCTATAGGCTTACCTTGACTTTATTATTTCCATCCATCTTTCTTAGTCAAAATTTCCTTTTCTTGCCAACTCTGTTGACTTTCCTATCTTTGTTGTTCATTTAGGTTAATGCTTAAAAAATTCCTTATAATTATTTTCATAGAATATTTAAGAAGTAGCAGAGATCAACATATGTTTGTTTAGCTAATTAGTTTAAATGAAAAATTTGATTATTCTATTGATGACAAACTCTTTAATGGCTCCTCATTGCAGAAAAATAAAACTGAAATTACTCAAGCTTACGGTTATGCTACATATAAAAATGTCCAGTTCCAGAGAACATAGATTTAGTAAAGTTGGTAAGGCACTTGTGTTGCTCACAGCTAGCTAGTGTTTGATCCCAGAATCACATGTGGTCCCCAAGCCCAACCAGGAGTGATCCCTGTGTGCAGAGCTAGGAATAAGTTGTGAACACAGCTGGATGTAGCCCCCCTCCTCTATCAAAATAAAAGAAAGTGAAAAAAAATGCCAAATTTTAATGATTTAGAACAACCAAGGTATACTTTATTTTTGTTGGCTGAACATTGGCTATGACTCCTTGGGTTTATATTTGGGTCCATATCATTTAAAACAATAGATTATTTTTATAGCACTTTTAGACTTATAGAAAAATTAAGTTTTAGGGGAAAAATGTTCCTTTCACTTTGTACTCCCAGTTTTCCTATTACTAATCTTGCATTAGTGTTCCACATTTGTTACAACTGATGCATTATTACCAATGTCCATGCTTTACACTAGGGTTCATCCTTTGTCTTGTGCATTTCATAGATTCAGAAGGAGAGATTTGGGACATACTCAGCAATGCTCAGGGACTACTCGAAGCTCTGTGCTAAAGGGCTACTTGTGGAGGTATTCTTCGGATAATGTGTTCTCCTGGGGATCAAACCAAGGTTGACTGCATGCAAGCCAAGCAGTTTAACTTTTATACGTCCTCTCCAGACATGTTTTATGAGTTTTAACAAATGTATGACATTTATTCACCATTACGATATTATACAGAATATTTCACTGCCATAAAACTTCCTCCATCTTCCTGAACAGCAGCTGATCTTTTTCTTGTCTAGGGATGGGTATTACTTAGGGACATGAAGAATCACACCCACTTGGGGAAGATGCTTTTGGAGATAAAGAGAAAGAGCACACATAAAGGCACAAAGAGTTGTAGAGCTTCTTTTTGGAAATGAAATAGGTCACATTCACTTAAACTTGGTTGAGATAAGCCTCATGACAATGAGTAGTGAATTACACTTCTCCCTTAGGAGATTACTTAATTTAGCTCATGAAAATGTGCAACTATCTTACAGAAAAAAGGGAGGCAGATGGGGAACAACAATGCAGTCAGCTGTGTAGCATCAGCATCACTTCTGGCCATGTAATTCTTCACTAACAACTCTTCATCTTAAATTTATTTCTACATTATACTGTCTCACATTCCTTGTGTCTCTTCTCTTAGCAAACTTATTTTTTTGGAGGTTAGCTTATTATAGAATCTATTGAGTAGTGTCACATTTCACTATCCTAATGCGCTAGTCTGCCACGCATACTGTGTAGGAATTCTTCACAGAGTTCTTTGGACTGTTAGCAGAATTAAATAATTATGAAGCTTCTACTTATGTGAATTTTATTTTTATTTTCAACTTGCATTTGACTTTGGCCAAGGTCTTCATAGAAGAAAAATTACCTGCATACGTAAGAGTGATCATATGATAGTGTCTGATCAAAGATGTGACCACATACCACTTCCATTGCTTGTGACTGAAAAGTGCAATGTAGACTGTGAACTAAGGTAAAAGAATATTAATGAGTAATGTTACCAGTGTACAATATTACCAGTTAAAATCAGTGAGATAGATATAAAACAGCTAGTATAATACTTGGGACAGAGTAGACATTTATTCTTGTCCCTACCGTTAATAAATTTAAGATGAATTATTTGTTAAATTCAGCAATACTTTTGAGTTTTCTTTCATGCTATTTGGTGAATTCAAATGTCAGGCCTAAGTATTTTGTGTAGGATATGGAATAATTTATCTGTAAAATTAATATATTTTTAAAAACTTTTTATGCAGGTATATAAGGTAAACTCTTATCTGAAAATCCAAGGTTTAAAGATCAGGAACAAAAAATTTTTAGAATGATTTTATAATTTTCTTTGAATTTATAAACTAATAAACAACTTGAATATGTGGATTATAGAATCAGTAGCTTGATTTATCTCATAAGGAAGTTTATGATGATGGGATTGGTGTTTGAATATTGAGTGTAATCAAATATTGTGAACTACTTTATAAAATAAAAAATTTAAATTAAAAGAAGATATATATATTTATGATGTTTTTAAGGACATTTGTCATATGTTTAGTGGTAGAATCTTCTAATAATAAATTTCATTCTTTGCATCGCATTATTTAATATTGAAATGATTTGGGGATGAAGCTACAGTCAGTTTTTACACTGATGCATTCACATTTTATGATATTTTGCTATGTATGGTTGAATAATTTGGTTTAGTGTCAGGGTAATGTCAGTACATATTTGCTTGTTGACCATTGCTTTAACTAGATTAATTTCATTTGTACATACCAGAGTATTCGATATGCCAGATACAGTAACAACAAAGTCTCCTATGGAGACGTTACTGGGCCCGCTCGAGTAAATCGACGATCAACGGGAGGGCCTTTACCTTTACCTTACATACCAGAGGAGCATGATTTTATTTGGAAAAAAAAAGTTTCTTAAAAGAAAATTCAAGAATTTATGCTGTAGGAATACAGTTTCCAAGCTTTATTGCTCACCTATAACATAAAAGTATGGCCCATGCAATACCTAATTTAATAATATATTAAATATAGTCATTGACTGGTCAGTAAGCTCTAACAGATTCTTAAAAGTTGTTCAACATACACATAGATGACTTTTTCTAAATTCATTTTTAAATTGCACTGATTGTAATACTTTCTATAATATACACTTTTTTAGGTGGCACATTGTTGGCAAAAGCGAATGTTCATCTCATTGCAGTCAAGGTTATAGATCCTTAGATGTTCATTGCATGAAGTATTCCATTCATAAAGGACAGACCGTTCCAGTCGATGACCACTACTGTAGAGACCAACTGAAACCTCCTACCCGAGAGCATTGCCATGGAGACTGTGTCTTAAAACGGTGGCATTATTCAGAATGGTCCCAGGTACGAAAAAAAGGCATTGCTAAGGAAAAGTCACTCTTTTTTCCTGATTAATATATATGTTATTCTAAAGTTCATTTAAGATTTTTTATTTTTTTTCCCATTTGTTACCACTTTTGTTTTTATTCAGTGTTCAAAGAGTTGTGGAGGAGGAGAAAGATCTCGAAAATCTTTCTGCATGAATAATTTTGGCCACCAGCTTGCAGACAGAGAATGTCAAGGTCTTCTCCGAATAACAACAGAAAGTTGCAATGATGTGTCCTGTCCTACTTGGGCTACTAGTGAGTGGAGTGAGGTAACAGTAAACACATAAGGCTTAGAATTATTACAAATTGTGTGACTAAACTTCATACAACTTATATAAACTAAGACTTTATAATTTTAAAACATTTAAATGTATTCTCTCATCTTGTAAATAACTAGTATTAAGGCAATTAAAAATGTGTTTTTATTAAACTATTTTCGGTATTTCACTGACAGTTTACATACCTTTCATCTATAGCAATTTTCCTAAGAAATTCTTACCCACATTAGACTAAGTATGGTATTTGTTTTTCTAAGGTTTGTCTTATATCTTGCTTCTTAGACAAATAGATTTTGTGCTAAAATGTGGATAACACAAATTTGGACTGACTGATTTTACTAAGTAAATATTTGTGGAGGATTTGAGGGAAGATGTCCTTTGCAGTGGTCTTTCAGCTGTATTTTAATATGCAAACTGGTCGTTATATGGCTTTATAAGGTATTTGTATAAAATAATACTGAAAATAAATAATGACTCATTGTCTTCCAGTGTCTTGTTACGTGTGGAAAAGGAATGAAGCAGCGACAGGTATGGTGTCAACTAAATGAAGATAATTTGAATGATGCATTTTGTGATCCAACTACCAAGCCTGATTCTCTGAGACCATGTGAGCTTCATACCTGTGCTTTCTGGCAAGTAGGACCATGGGGTTCTGTAAGTATAGACAGAATCTTCATGATTTAATGCAACTTTGCAAAATAGTGCAAAAATTGCAGATTACTAACTCTTTACAGGATTTAAAGAAATTAGGTTTGATATGTTGATATAATACTCGCAAAATAGTAACTTTCATCAGCCATTGTAACTTTCATCAGGCATTGCTATATGTGGTAACTATTTTACCTTTACTTTAGAATTTAATTTTTTAGTTGAGATTTGTTTAAAACATTTTATAGCTTTCAGGTATGCAAACTTATACCTTAATATCTGTATATACGTTGTGTTATTAATATTCTGGTCCATCTAAGACCCTTTATCTATATTAGGCTTCTTTCCTTCCATCTTGTAGAAACTATTTTGTTCCTACTAAGAATTATTTTATTTTAAAATTTTATTATATGTGCGTAAAATTTGATTTTTTTCTATTAGACTATCTCACTTAGCATAAAACTTTCTAGTTCCATCTTTTTAATTGTAAATGTCAGGATTTCACTATTTGTCTTTTAAGAGCAAAATTAATATTTCAGTACTACATATACTTCATTTTCTTTATTTACTCATCCATCAATGAATACTAACATTGTTTTCAATTCTAGATTATAGTAAATAACTATTAAATGACTTAAGAAGTGTATATATCTCTTCAAATTAATGTTTATATGTCCTCCAAATAAATACCTAGCAGTTGGGCTGGAGAAGTAGTGTAAGGAGTAAGGCATATACTCCCCACATAGAGTCCCTTGCCAATAGTCAATTGAACTTGAACCATTTGAAATTGATCCCTGGTACCACATGTGAGCACAGCCAGGAGTGACACAGCACAGAGCTAGGCAGAATATTTAAGTACCATCATGTATGGTACAAACCCCAGTAAATAAATACACAAATAAATACCTAGCAGTGGGGTAGTTGATTCATATGATATTTTTAATTCTGATTTTTGAAAGGAATTTTCATATTGGTTTCTATAATGGTCACACGAAACATATACCATAAAAAAACTTAGTTTTTACTAACAGATTTTATGTTTTCATCAGCTTTTACTGTACATATTTTCATATTCTGTGACAAAGTTACTGTATTTTCTGTATTTAAAGTGGGCTTTCTTGGAAAGACAATTCAAGTACACAGCTAGTAATTTGCAGGGTGAACAGTGAGAGTGCACAATTTACTGTTCTATTGACACTCCCGTGTTTGCTGGAAAGTTTTTCTTACCCTTCCCCTTAATTTTATCCTATGCTCTTTTATCTTTACTTTTTTTGAAATTAACTCAGAATATTAAATGATATACATACACCAGAAAACTTTTGAGAAGCTTTTTTTTTTACTTAGTCTCTAAACTATTAGTCTTCTGTTGTAATGTCATTTTTGTTTGTTTGTTTTGCCATACCTAGTGATGCTTAAAGGTTACTCCTGAGTCTGAGCTCAGGGATGATCCCAGAAGTCCACAGGGTAACATATGGGATGTTGGGGATACAACCTGGGTCATCAGCATGTAAGGGGAGCACTCTACCCATTGTACTATCTTTCCAGACCCATGTAGTGACATTTTTACATAGATTTATAAAGATACAGTAAATGTCACCTTGTATATTTAATAATTTCTTAATATTGACGTAAACTTGAATACTATATATATGGATTAAATTTGCTAATTTAAAATTCTGATGTAAAAGAGATTTACTAAATGTATACAAGTGTATTTAAAAATTGAAGCTTATATAATTTCTGCATAATGTATTGTTTGATATCTATGTATATTTTTCAGTGCACAGTCACATGTGGCCATGGATATCAGACGCGTGCTGTTCAGTGTGTCAGTGAGCAATTCAATGTGGTGTTAGATGACAGAGTGTGCCGTGGGGCTCATCGCCCAAGTGATAGACAGGTAAAGCATGCTGTTATGGATATTAAACACAAAGACTTATGACACCAGAGGATTATATTTTGAGATGTATACCTTTCATAGAATTTATCATTCTTGGTTCTTGCAAGTTTATAGCTGTATTAATGATTTTATTTTTACTTTTCACCTGAAATTGGATCACTCTTTTAACACCTATTATAATCTATTAAATTGCAAAAGGTGAATATTTATCATTACCAATATATTGGCTTGCTTTATCATTTATCGCAGTGTTTGTGTTCATTCAGAATGTCTTAGTTTAATGGTGATTTTCAAGGATGAATGCTCGTTTCCTTTTCCACTAGCAGACAGAATAATCCAAACTATACAGTTTAGTCTCAAAATCTACTTCTAGCCAGTAGCAGTACCTTCTTACTTTTGGGGGAAAAGTATTTATAATATTTATTTGTAACTTGTCATTCAATTGTTTTTTTTATTAAACATATTAAAGAAAAAATATATAGGATTTAATGTACACCAGAATGACTAATTGACCTTTCATGAGAGCTGTTTTTTTTTTTTTGAATAGGACTGTGTATTTATACCTTGCCCGGTTATACCTAAACTTGGGACCACTGCATTACCAGCTGTTCCCATGGGAAAGATGGCACAATGGAGACATGGTTCTTGGACCTCTGTAAGTGAATTCCTTTAAAGAGGTACAGTATTTCTGTTATGGAGGCTTTTAGACATTAAAGGAAAATAAAAGGTTGCTATAGATTTACTAAAACATTGTTATGTGTTCACTCTCCAATGTACTGATGATGTAGTAAAAGTCTATGGTTTGGAATTAAGTAGTCTCTAATGGGCAAATTATATTTTGTTTTTCCAGTAATTTAAATTTTCTAGTTTTTTTCTAATCTGCTAAATGGGGATAACGATATGATTTTACTTGTGTTTCAAGATTATGTTACATGCTGCCCATATCTTAATATTCTTCGAGTGTTTTCTGTTTCTTCAGTTTTTGTTAAAAAATCAATATATCAAGAACTTGAAGGTTTTGTTTTCATAACTGCACGTAACTGATTTGTGAAATCTACTAAACTGATCTGATTGTGATACTTACTGGCCTCTCTTTACTTGATTAGAAGTGAAGCTAGGTCATCAAAAAACTTGATGCTTTAGAAATTTGAGAAACAGCTGTATGTATACTATGGAAATGAGTCTAGTAACTATAAAACACCCTAATATAACTCAATTCTTTTTAAAAGTGTTCTGTGTCTTGTGGAAGAGGTAATCAAGCTCGTTATGTCAGCTGTCGCGATGTTCATGATGGGATAGCAGATGAGTCATACTGTGCTCATTTACCACGACCTGCTGAAATATCTGTCTGCTTCAGTCCTTGTGGAGAGTGGCAAACAGGAAATTGGTCACCTGTAAGTATTTTATATGAGAAACAGTTTTGTTCCTAGAGGATACTAATTTAATAAGAGTGTTTGATTCTCCAGAGAAAGAGATTAAAAAAATGGAAGATCAATAAGTAAAGACAATTTTATGCCCTGATGTAGTACTTGGGTAACCCCAGTATGAAGTCCTATAAAGTAAGAGAGGTCATGTCCAAGAGTTGGGAGAAGTGAGCCCAGAGTCTGGTGCCTGAAGATTCAGATGCTGTTTTCTCTGTTTTGGGGGAGGATGGTTCACACCTAGAGCTGCTGGGGCCCACTCTTGGTGCAGAAGTCAGGGGCCACTCCCACTAGATTTTGGGAAATAAGCTACCTGGGAAATCACTCCAGAGATGAGGTATCTCCTGTCCTCATTGATATTTTATGAGAAAGGCATGATGTGAAAAATTAATGGTAATATTTGATGACTCAGTGATATTAATATAGATCAATTATAAATGGCTATATTTGTGATCAGTGCTCAACTTCCTGTGGCCATGGAAAAACAACTCGACAAGTTTTATGCATCAATTTTCATCAGCCAATTAATGAGAATTACTGTGACCCTGAAGTTCGTCCTTCGATGGAACAAGAATGTAATCTGGCAGCCTGCCCACCCACAGACAGCCACTTCCCAAGTTCCCCTGAACAGCCTCGCCGTTTTCCAGGCAGAAATTTTCCATTAACTCACAAGCCAGAAGACAATCAAAATCAGGAAATTTATCCATCAATTAGAGGAAACCAATGGAGAACAGGACCGTGGGGATCAGTAAGCCATGTTTTTTGAGTTATATTAATTTTATGTTTCTGTTATAGTCTTTCACAGATTTAAATGCTCTAATGCTAAACTTATCTGAAGAATACCAGTATAATTTTTAGAAGCTCTAATGCTAAGCTTATCTGATGATCAATAGTTTAAATCTTAAAATGCTCCAGCTTCTCTGAAGATTAATAGTTGAGCATGTTAAAAGTATTTGAAGTCTTAAAAGAATTAAGCATATTTTTATGGAGGTTGCAGAGATCTTATTAAATTATACACTACCATGATATGATTACAGAGGAATGCACTTAAAAATAATCTAATTCGTGGGTCTATCATACTTAAATTAAAAGACATCTTTTAAGATTAAGATATAGAACCTCAAATGTTTGAGAAGAAAATCAAAACCAGAAATAATTATGAAGGAAACTGGCGTAAAATCATAATAAAATGTAAAGGAATAATTATATTTCACATTTTTATGGTAAAATCAATAAAAAAAAGTTAAGTAAATTAGTTCAGTCTTTTCGTATATTTATCTAATGACACTTTCAGATTATTTCAATCTTACTTTAAGAACTATTGTTTATAGTCAGGTGAATTTCTGATTACAAGCTTTAAAAATGTTTCATTTTTAATAGTAAATGATAGAAAATACCTAGTAAAATTCAAGTGTTTGGTTGAGTTTGTTCAATTCAAATTGTAATTTCAAGGAAAGGGTTTTAACATAAAATCTCTGAGATTGAGTTCAAAATACTGATTTTGTTCTCACCAGATTGTTTCCTAATGCAGCATGAGTAATTGTTACGTATTTACTCCTTGTCAGTGCTCTAGTAGCTGTGCTGAAGGTCTTCAGCGCCGAGTTGTGGTGTGCCAGGATGAGAATGGACAGAGTGCCAGTCACTGTGATCCCACTTCCAAGCCCCCAGAGGCAAGGCACTGTGATTTGGGACCCTGTCCGCAATGGAACTACGGAAGCTGGGGAGAAGTAAGTACTAATACTCATCTTTACACCTCTAAAGACCCAAAGTTAAGGATTTCATGTAACTACTGGTGAATAATCTTACTTCACTGTATAGTATAAGTGCTTACATTGTGGGTAGCTACGGAATGTGGAAGTTGCAAAAAATTGGACAATAGTAAATTTTTTAATTAAAATTCTCTGGTATACTATTAATGATGATTGCTCATGAATATAATTCCAACACCACACTCATCACCAGTGTATCCACTTACCTCCCCCAATGACCCCAATACCCCTCCCTCTCAACACCCCAGCCCAATTGTGTGCCAGAGCTCTCTCATTACGTTGCCCAAGGACCTTTGTTGCTTCCCTGCTGCACATCTCTGTGACCCACAGATGAGAGGGATCATTCTGCATCTGCTCCTTTTCTTCTGTCTGACTTCACTTGCCATGGTAATCCTCTAGTTCCATCTAGGTTGCTGCAAATTACATGATTTTGTCTTTTTTTTCCTTTTTGGGTCACACCCAGTTATGCACAGGGGTTACTCCTGACTCTGCACTCAGGAATTAGTCCTGGTGGTGCTCAGGGGACTATATGGGATGCTGGGAATCAAACCCGGGTCGGCCGCTTGCATGGCAAAAGCACCCGCTATGCTGTTGCTCCAGCCCCGAGTTTGTCCTTTCTTAAAGCTGCATAGTATTCTATTGTGGTTGGGCATTTGGGCTGTCTCCTTGTCTTGGCTATTGTATTAAGTACAGTGATGAAATGGTTTTTGAACATTCAATGAGCAAACTCCTGTATATAATCAATATGAGGTATTTCTGCACAATTCAACCTGTGCTGTATTCTTTGGGTGGGAAAGAGAAAAGATTTTTATTAAATCCATTCTTAAGGGATTTTCACTCTTCTACATACAATAAAGTTGTTTTTCTTTTAGTAAAACCATGTTTTTTTAATAGATATGCTATCATGGCATTTATTACTCATTCATAAAAGGTAATATAAATCCATATTTTATCGTAATCTGGTTCTCAACTACTAATTTATACTTCTGGTTCTATTTAAAAAAAAAAAAACGCCCTCCCATTGATCATCAATTTGCTCGAGCGGGCCCAGTAACGTCTCCATTGGAGACTTAGTTGTTACTGTGTCTGGCATATCGAATACTCTCGGAAGCTTGCCGGGCTCTCCGAGAGGGGCGTAGGAATCGAACTCGGGTTGGCCATGTTGGCTGCGTGCAAGGCAGACGCCCTACCCGCTGTGCTATCGCTGTTATCTTATTATCACAGCGGGTAGGGCGTCTGCCTTGCACGCAGCCAACATGGCCGACCCGAGTTCGATTCCTCCGCCCCTCTCAGAGAGCCCGGCAAGCTACTGAGAGTATTCGATATGCCAGACACAGTAACTATTTAAAAAAGTTCTTGGTAAATTGATAAATTACATTGATAAAATTATATTCATATGCAATGTTTATATTATATTTTTGAACCAGTGTTTGGAAAAATCTTTTCCTTCAAAACAGAAAATTTTGAATTGAAGAGCATTTTCCTTCATATACTTGCAATTCTTTAGTCACTAGGATTGCAAGTGTAGGATGTTCTTTTGTTTGTTTCTTTGTGTTGGGGTCACACTCAGCGATGCTTAGAGATTATTCCTGACTTTGCACTCAGGAACTAATCATGAGGTGTATGGGGGACCATCTGGGATGCTGGGGATGGAACCTGGATTGGCCACATGCAAGGCAAGTGCCTTTCTTGCTGTGCTATCTCTCTGGCTCCACAAAAGTAGATTTTTAATAGTTACCGTGAGTAACTTTCACCTATATTGTATATTAAAAATAATGAGAAATAAAAGCGTATATCGTCATTTTGGTGAATGAAACAAACCACCACCTAATTATCTTCTGATTTTTGCACAAAACCTGGCAGTGCTTAGGGTTTACCCCTGGCTCTGTGCTTAGGATTCATTCTAGGCAGTTTCCAGGTGACCATATATGGTGCTGGGATTGAATCAGGCACAGTATGAGCTAGTGTCAGCAGTATCCAGCGTGAGCACTTTAACCTTTGTACTATCTCTACAGCCCAAATGCCTAATTTATTGTACCAGTTTTTTTCCTAATGATGTTTCAGCAAGATTTCTCTGATTTCTTTTTATGTGAGTTTTAGAAATCATTCTCTGTACACATCTGACCAGGTGCTAATATCAAATGTTTTTCAAATATATGTTCACTAGTTTTGAAAATGACTATTTCTGAAAGAGACATATATATTATGAAAATTCAAATTTGAATTTAGATGAATTTTTGACATTTTTGTGAATTACCTGCCAGAAATATGTGACAGTGTTGCAACCTCCTGTTCTCAAAAATATCTGCTGGACCTTTTTTTTTTTCATGTTTCTAACTTTATATCTGCCCCTTATTAGAATTTGAACTGTATAGTAATATTGGTCATAAGTCATACATTATTTAATAATTATTACTTAAGTAAAGCATATTTGTTTCTTATATAATATGTCAGTTTCTGCTACTGCCAAGAGTCTCTTTTATATTGATCTCTAGTCTTTTTTTTGAAGGGGTTGAGTTTTCAGACTCACTGATGCTTAGGGTCTATTCCTGATTCTGTGCTCAGGAGTGACTCCTGGCAGTGATGCAGGTACTACTGGTGTCAGGGATTTGATCCAGTGTTGGATGCCTGTAAAACAAGTGCCATGCCTCCTGTATTCTCTCTGACCCAATCCTCAAACTCTTTATTGTCTTTTTTCTCATTGGGGTTTTAGGGCCATACCCAGTAATGTTAAAAGCTACCCCTGGTACATTGCTCAAATGTTCCTCCCAACCTTGGGAGATCATGTGGTGCTGAGTACTGAATCTTGACTCCCATGTTCAAAAACTGTACACTCATTCTTCGGGCTATCTCATAGGCCCTACATGAGTAATCTTATTGGTAATGAGAAATACCTTCTGTTGTACCAATCTTAAATATTTCCTCTTTTTTTGTTTTGGGCCACATGTATTTGTACTTGGGCTTACTCCTGGATCTACCAGGAATCACTGCCAGGAATCACTCCAAGAAGGGCTCTGGAAACATTTGCGGTGCCAGGGATTGAACCTGAGTTTGCTACATGAATAGCAAGTGACCAATCCTGTGTACTGTCTCTCTAGACCCTCAATATTCCATCTTTTGTAAAAATTATAAAACTAAAATTTTAATTTTCATCCAGAAAAAATATTGAGAATTGTAAAGGAATGATAAACTTTAAACTTCAGCATAATTGATTATGTATTAATTGTTGAAGAAATCAATCTGATAAACGTTACATAATATTGAATTTTGCTATTCTTGATTTTAGTGTACACAGTCATGTGGAGGAGGCATAAAGTCAAGATTTGTAATATGTCAATTTCCCAATGGCCAAATGTCACAAGAGCAAAACTGTGAAATATTAAACAAGCCACCTAGTGTAGTACAGTGTCACATGCATGCTTGCCCTGATGGTGTGTCTTGGCATCGGGAACCATGGAAATTGGTACGATAATATTCTTAGTGTCATCTTTTTCTTTTGTTCTACTATGTGCCATTAACTTTCATTTTCTACTTCTAAACTGTGGAATGCACACACTATATTTGCTCTTGTGTTAGGAAGTGTGAAGAATTTTGAAAAATCCATTTTAAGTATTATTATATATGTATAGTTTTATATGTATTTATTTTATAACTGAATTTTTAATAATAGCACAGTTATTCTAAGGGTTTTTTAAATATATCCTTGGCTTCTAACTAATCATAAATGTTTTACTATTTCCATTTGTATAAAGTGTTGATGTTGTACTTGTAACAATGGCAAATCAAGTCTATGTCTTGTTTAAGCTTATAACTTATGTGGCTTTTGTCTGTCAATATTAATAACAGATCTAAAAGCAAATAACTTACTTTAAAACTTTAGTTTTCATTGTTCAACTTTTTAATTTGTTTACAAATGTGAAAATATTAAAAAAGAAAGATATCTACTCACAAAAAGTAAATTGTTTACAGTTTATTACATTATGTCATGGAAGAATATGATTTATATAAAAATTTATATTAATATTAATGTCTTCCACTATGTGGAATTACTGTATTGTAGAGGTATGTTAGAGTGTTTCTTTTCTCTTTTTTTGAGCCATAAAAAAATTTATTGTTTTTCATGGATGGTTTATTTTCTCTAGAATTTTTTAAATACACAGATTTTGAAGTGTAATGTTTTAGTATGTTGAAATTAGCATGATGGTCTCTTAATATTTTGTATCATATTGAAGTACACATTCTGGTGAAAAACTGATTCATAACTTCTTTAAAGATAGTCTATTTTGAGTCTATAATCTATTTACAATTAAGTTTATAAAGCTTAGACTGTTATTTACTTGGAAAATGATAACTGGTTTTATTAACAAACCCTATTGCCTCTTAATATTCTTGCTTTGCCCAATTCAAATTTTAAAGAGAGATGTCAAAGCAAGATTGAATTAATTCTATATGGAAAACTAAGACAATTTATAGTACAAACTAAAAATAATCTTAGTTGTCAAAGTGAGACCGTTGTTGCAAAGCAATAAAATATGTTGACTTTATAGGAAAGTTTTAAAGTTAAGTTGCTGTGTCAGAGAACCATGACACTGTGTGAGCTAACCAAGAAAATATACTTAACTATGGAAAACATTCACATATTTAATAAGACTTTACTGACCATCCTATGCTTTGTATAATGGTATATATATATATTCTCCTATGGAGTTTATAATATAATTGGAGATGTTTTAATGGTACTTAACTATACAAATACCCAATTTTCGGGACCAGAGACAGTACAACTGGTAGGGTGCTTGTCTCGCATGCAGCTAACCGGGATTCAAGCTCTGGTACCTTTCATAGTCCTCCAAGCTCACCAGGAGTGATCCCTGAGAGCAGAGTGAGGGGTAATTATATTCATGAACTAGATGTTCCATTTTCCCATTTGTTCTTTTATTCAGTCTTAAAACATTGAACATTTACTCAGATTGTGACTGGGGGTGTGGTGATAGCTCAGTGGGCTGAAGTGCATGCTTTGCATGTAGGAGCTTAGATATTGATCCACGACACCAAATGATCCACTCAGCACCTTTTCTGGAGTATTCCGCAGTACCCTGCATGTCATGACACAATAAAACAAAACATTTACTTCTGCTTTTACTCTTTGTTGAATTACCTAAATTCTTTTTGAATAAAATTTTCAACTTCAGGAAAATTTGACTACACTCATTGATCATATCCAGCCTTCTACTTACCTTTGTAAGAAGTTTTATTGGAACATAACCATGCAATTATATCCCATCCCGTACTTCTTGTCTGTTCAAAAAGTTCATTGAATAATTTAGTCTTTGCACTAGAATAACTGTACTTTCTGTTATTTGATAAAGATGATTTTAAAATTACAAATTTTTATAGCATATTTTTTACAATTTTTCACTTAGACACTTTCACTTTTTATATGTATAAAACTTTGTCATAGATGTATCTGAGTTTTTATCATATGCAGCATTTTATTTCATTAATTATCCTTTTATATTAAAAGAATTTGAGGGATCTGAAGTTTTATTGTCAAAACCAGCTATTACCTTGTACCTTTTTCAGTATTGCTACATATTAGCCAAATTTTAGAGTACCTCTTATGAACAACCAGTTTAATATTCTTCCATGATAATTTTAATTTCAACAGATTGGTGTGTGTGTTTGTATATACATATATAAATATACATGCATATATACACACACATAAAAATGTTATTTTAAAGGAAAATTCAAATGTGAAGTGCCAAATCATTAAAATGTTATTAGGAAGATAGTTGTCAATATGCATTTAAATTTTCTTCGTGTGTAGAAAATTTTGTTATGTAATATATAAGCATGATTAAAGAAAGGAATAAATAGATCTTAACCTATGTCTGTTAACTTAATTATTGTAATTTTGTGATTAGTCAATGTGAAATGATTATATTTTAACCTTTATTAATGACATACTGTTGCTTTTGTGCTTTGCATAATTTATATGTATGTTATAATTTTACTGAATCATTGCTTGATGCTTCAAGTCACTGAGCATATCCTATATTGAATAAATGCTTTTTTTCGATGTCTAAAAATACAACTTTTAATTTCATTTATTAAACATTTTATTGTCAAATAATATGTGCTTTGCTTATTGTATGTTTAATTTACTTCTGTTTTGAGATAATTCTTTTAGAAACTAATAATATTTTTCTCTTTTGGGGGGGAGGGTTCTCTTGGCTTTCTCCTGGCTCTGTGCTCAGTGATCATTCTTGGTAGTATTCAGAGAGACTTTGGGGGCATTGGGTATTGAACCCAAATTGGCCATATGCAAGGCAAGCCGCATACTCACTATGCTATCTCTCCAGCCCCAGAAATGATGTTATTTTAAAGTATGAGTTTTAGTGTGCAATTTTTAAATACTAGAATTTTATATATATTTTTTAAAATTATAAACAATGGATGCAAATTTATGGTGTAAACAAACTTATTAAAATAGCAATGGTTATAGTACTTAAGACCAAGATAATCTACAAAAGGTAAGAGTTTTATATATTTCTTTATATAGAAACAGCACATCAATTGCATATAACATAATCAAACTGTTTATGCAAATGTTTTCTAAATAAATTTATATTAATCTCCATATATTTTCCACTGTTTTCTTTTAAGTGATTTATTTCCTTATACTGTTTTTACTTCCTGGATAGAATAAAATTTTGGGTAGATAATGTTTATATGAAAACAGCATATATTTTTGTATATTTTGCATTTTCTAATGATCCAATACAAAGTAAAGTAGTATTTCATCTCTTTCCATTAAAAATTGATTATTAGAGAAACAGAAATGATTATTTTCTCTGACAAAGATGAGAAAATTATTCTAGAAATTGAAAGTTTAAAATGGGGATGTGTCTCAGTGGCATGGTACCTGCCTTGCAGATGAGACCTTAACTTTAATCTGTAATACCTCAAAAAGTTATTATCTAAATAAATAAAATAAATGAAAGCTTAGACTACTTTTAGTTGTAATGCTATTCCCCAACATATTTTTTAAAATATGTTCATATGTAGCACTGTAAAAATAACTATAATAACACATCTCTACTACAGTACAACGGATTGTAATAAACAGTTGCACTTTCAGAAGGGAGCATCTGGTTTAGCACAAACTTAGTAAATCTGAAAAATCTTTATGAAGAACTAAAGAATATTTTGAGTAGCTTCTCCAGCACTGTAATGCCTTATCAGGAGGGAATTGACTCAAGAAAAAAGTTATTACTATCTTGGTTGCTCCAAAGGTCAGCAGCAGCCAGGGAAACAAGGTAATGTGTGATGCAGAAATCATTTTAGAAAGCTGTCAATTTCTTGTAGTTTGTACAGTGACATATTTATAGTGATTTGTTACTTTCTTAAATTTTGAAAATATGGCTAAATATAAGTGGATGTAAATCTTTATTTCAAATTTAACAAATAACTAATAATAATAACCTATAACTATTAATGGTAGCATACAATTATTAATAAAGTATTTTTATTATGTTTCACGATCATGATCATCCTGTTGTTCATCAATTGCCTCGAGCAGGCCCCAATAACGTCTCCTTCATTCTAGCCCTGAGATTTTAAAAAGTGCCATATCCAAGGCTCTTTCAGGGTTAGGAAAATGAGACCCATCATTGTTACTGGTATTTGGCATATTGGGTATGCCAAACACCACGGGTAGTTTGCCAGACTCTGCTGTGTGGGCAGGTTACATTCGGTAGCCTGCCAGGTTGTCCAAAGTAGGAATGAGATAAGATGTCGCATGGTGCTTCCAGGAGCTGGGTTTTATAGTCTCTGGGTCTTGGCCATTGATGGGATTACACGGCGCTGGGGGTCAGTTGGTGGGTGTGACCTCTGCCTACTGGAGGATGGAGGATCTGGGTGGAGGGATGCTCAGCCCCAATCCGAGGAGGCTTGGAGATCTCAACCCCGGGACCCACATGCCTTTGTTCCTCTGCCGGTACCTTCATGCGTGTAGAGAGTGGTCTCAGCATGGTTGTGGCTGGTTCTGGAGGTCTTCAGCTGCCGGAGCTCTGCTCTGGGTGGGGAGGGAAACTCAACCCGCCCCCCCCCCCAAGGGGCCCCGGCGAGGACAGCCAGCACGGGGGCAGGAGACTGTTTTATTCATTATGTTTATTGTAGTGTTTTTCTATGGTACATTCATTGATTCCAAAATTGTAAGATTTTTCTACATGCTAAGTATTGTGCCAATCACAACATGATCTCTGTATACAAGGAATGTGCAACTTAGTGATGAATATACTAAATAAACAGGTGATCAAAATGCAGACTGAGGGTCCCTTTTCATCTAAGTAGCAAGCATGTGATTTGTCATATTAAAGATTCACAAAGGTGGACTCAATAGATTATAATGACCTAAGTTCTCATCACTATCACCCCGTTATTCATTGATTCGCTCAA